TCTGAGAATGCATTTGTTGGTTCATGCTGGTATCGGGTATAGTGCGGAGGCATCCCGACACCGGAACGTGCCCTTGAGCCTCGTCAAGGGAAATCGATCTCTAGAGGAATGAACTGGATCAGTCAGACGTCACCTCTCTATATCCCGAGCCTATGATGTTCCACATTTCGTGACCGAGCGTCGTCACCTCCGTCCTTTTATCACGGTGGGCTTCTTCTCAAACTACCAGAGCCTTCCCGTCAGAGGCCGGACACATGCATCAACCGGCTTTTACATAGAAAGGGTAGCGGGGGAGCGAAGACCTTGCCTTCCCACTCGTCACTCACCGGCAGCTTTGCTTCGGGTCCCAAGGTCCGAGGTATCGCGGGAGAGTGATGGGATCCGCTGAGCTGGGGGAGGGGGCGGGTCCTGCTTTCCAAGAGCTTACACCCTAGCTGCGGAGTACAAGTCATGCTCTTCTTGAGCCTCCTCTTTCGCGTCAACATTGTGGGATAACGTTCTAGAGCGGCCGCCAGCTTCGAGTTTCCCCGTTTGGCGGCCGGCCTGAAGCCTCACCTGTTGAGCGATTTGCTGACCGCAGACTGGCAGCTTTCCGGCAACCCCTCGATCGAACTGCAGCAACGGACGTGAGCGCCAGTGCACGTGTCTAGCCCGTCAAGCCATCCAAGGATGCCCGACGTCTGGGTAGTTAAGACTCTATGCGACAGCATGCAGCAGCAGTGCTACCGAGATCCTGTTGTTCGATCCCCAGGCTTGGCCTCTGCCATAAACTTTCCTACCTTTCCCTCTTCAGACCACGGCCGCTGGTGAATTTCAGGGATGTTCGGCTAGATTGTACCGTCGACACATAACAGGAGAGACGCAGCAAGGCCGCCGCCTCTGGTAATATCTAGAGGTTGAAGGCTTTCATCGATGCGCCCAAGTTGGACCAAAATAGCCTATGTAACCTGAGGGCGCCCAACGAAATCTCGCACTCGCCTCTTGTGGATAGCTCAGTGCTCTTGGTTCTGAAAAGTGTCCTGACACTCTTTCTTTCTCCGTCTCTCTTTTTTTTCCTCCTCCCTCGTCACTTTTTTCCTAGCTTAGACGTCCTTGACGTGCCGCTGTCACATTTCATCGACATGCCGCAATACCGTGTAATTTTGATCTTTTGTCTTCCGAGCGAACAGCTTGTAAGTTGGGGCGATGTCCAAGGTAAATGTTTGGTTCCGTGTATTACGCTTAAGGCAGTGATTACGAATAGTTCGCTGTGACAGGATTCATCGGCTATTCCTCCTCGGCCGTAGCTTGCCCAAGAAACAGAGAGGGCTTTTTGACCCTTAACGCACATCTTATACCGCTCCCATGATGCGATGCGACGCCGTGGGGCCTCGACAAAGCTGTGTCTCGGGACCTAGGATGCCAATCTGCGAATCTGCCGCAAGTGCGCTTGAAAACCGGGGATGGGATCTTGTCGCGTCACTGGAGATCTTGTTCTTGAGAAATTGATCGAACTAGAAACACACACACACCACAAAAAGAGCCCCTCTCCCTTCATCTTCGAGATGGGCGCCGATTGGTGCTTTGGGCACGCGAACGAGCCACCTTCAAGTCCTGCTATCTTCTTCGTCCATTCGGGGAAGTTCTGCCCTCCTTCACGGAGGTGGCTCTTGATGATATGGAGTTCAAGTTCAGCCATCATCCGATTCCCCATTCCCCGCAGGGGCGCGAGGGGTGGCCAACCACCATTCACAGCATGGAAACGACGAGCGCTTGCAGGAGATGTCAAGGGTCGTCCCCCTCACATCCGCTAGTTCTCTTCAACCACCATGTTTGACTCAAGACTGGTTGGCTTTAGCGTACATTCCTAGACTTGACAAGCACAGGCTCCTTTTTCCTTCTTTTTTTTTTTCTGTTTCTTTGGACTTATTTTTTATTATGATTAGGGTGCCCAGAAAGACCAATTGTTTTTCTCACCCTAGGTCAGTGACATCTTTTGATCCATCGCCCATTTCGGACTTCGCAGATAGTTTTTCCGTCCTGTCGACACTACATCACCCCCAACCTCGTTTGCAGCCCCTATCGGAGGCCGGATTAACTCCTCCACCCATGCTCCATTTTTCTTTCTTCTTTTTCTCTGCAGTCCAACACTCCACCTCACCGTCCCTCTGCGACGCTAGGCTATGCGCGCTTTCGATCGAGAGTTTGTGGAGCAAAACCCTGATGGGGAGGAACAAGGAATGAGCGCCACACCTTGGACGTAACATCGCATCGCAGGCCGCCGGCCCTCTCTCGTTTCTGCACCTGCTTTGGGACCACAAAGCAGAACAAGATAACCGGTGGCCACGGCCGGTATTTGCATCGCTGTACGTACGTAGCAGTCCTTTCTTTGAACATATCCCAAACGGGGATCGCGTCTTGGCCCCGGCGCCCATTTTCGCCACAGACGGGCGACCCTCGCCGCTTCGTGAGGTTAGCTTCCTGAGCGGTAGGTAGCAGCAGCGTTTTAGACGAGAAGGGCAAGCGTCAGATGGCGGGGAGGGTGCACCCGTGAAGGAGGAGGTATGCAACTCGGTGGAGGCTTGAAGGATACCAACGAACAAGGCGCTCGAATCACTACGCATCTCTCTCATGGACAAGATGGCGGGTTCGAGATGCACAGAGTTTTGATAGGACCCATACCTTCGGAGCCTCCTACCGCTTGCGACCTGGCTTTCCGAACCACCGTTGCGTCTCGTCCGCACTACGCCGGTCCCGGCCCTAGTTCAATAGTCAAATGCGAAGGCCAGACCCGAGAGAGGGAGGGTGCTAGGCTCGCTTATGCCCCCTGCAAGCACGCCGGTACTAGTGTGAGGCTCTTCTTGAGAAACAGAAAGAAGAAGAAGAAAAATGCATGAGGGGGAGAGGACACGAAAGAAAGAAAGCGGCGTGATATCAAAGAAGGGTAGTGGGCTGCATACGAATTAGGGTATCAACGTTACTACACTTCGCAAGAGACGCCTCGTTTAAGCGTCGATTGGAACTCTGCCAAAAAGAAGGATGCCTTGATTCCCACCCTCGATGTCTTGAGCGTCCGCCCTATATCTATAATTCACCTGTGTTAAGAAGTCCGATCGCTGCCACCGTTGCTTGAGCTTCGCGGCGTGTCACACATCACGGCAAAATGAGACGACATGTACGCTTGGCCCAAGAGGGGGACTTTGAACAAGGGCAATCGAAAATCGCAGGTGTAATAGCAAAGAAGCCCAGCAAGACCCGCCAGGCACATATAGCCCTCACCAGCATCCGTGATATTGGATGCCCATGTGCGCGCGTGCGTGCGTTTGAGCGTGCGTTGACTGTGGTCAAGGCAGATCAAGCCACAAGACGTCTCTCCCGCACCCCGCACTACGCCCGTCGGGCCCCCATACAACCGGTATTTTATCCCCCCTCCCTGCGGGCGAGGTGGAAGGCAAGGACCCTTTTTTTTTTTTTTTTTTGGGTGTCTTCTTCGTTTTTGGATCGTGATTTGATACTGCCCTTTCTTTTCAGGGCCCCCTTTTTTTCTCTGGGTCGGACTGTGCGCTGCTTCGCTAACAGTTCGATTGGGCTTCTTTCTGGTTCTAGAGAATTTCCTATCCCAGGAAATGGATGGGTAACGGGGAATGCGTGAGGCACTGCGGCCGGCTGGCCGAAAACCTGGCATCATGCTCGGATGGGGTGAACGAAAGGTGCTATCCAACCCTCTTTGTCTACGAGACTTGCGTTTGCTCGCTAGAATCAGTAAAGGGGAAACGGAAACGTGAACAGCAATGCCGCTTCCTCAAAAAGGCCATCAGGCAGGGCGCAGTAAGAAAGGAAGCAGGAAAGAAAAAGATCAAGAGTCGACCCGGGGGGCAGTTGAAGTGTCTCCAGCAGAATCCGGCCCTCGAAGCTCCGTGAAGCTCCACTTCCACGCCTCATGTCCCTGCTCATCAGCATCGTATCAACCACGTTGGAAACGCAACGTGAAATACCGCATCGCGCTATCAAGAAGAGAGCAATGTGTATTCCCCCTCGATGAACACGAACGCAACAGTAGACGCACACATACCCAACATGCCCATCCAGATCGCCAAGCCCAGACGAAAACGCAACCTGGATTCCCGATGGACGTATGCCGGTGAGATCCCCACCACGTCTTTTGTTTTTCTTCTTCTTCTTCTTTGTTCTCGCTTCGCCCCTCAATTCTCCCGCTGTCTTTCATCAAATCCTTGTTTCTTTCCCATCTTGCTTCCTCTCCTCCTCCGGTCCTCCATTTTCTTTCCGTCCGCTTTCCCCCCTCATCCCCGTTACCCACGCCCACTTTCACACCCCCTTTGCCTCGCGCGCGACGCGGACTCACTGCGCCCGTTGCACGAGTGGGGGAGAAGATGGCCCTCTATGCGCGTAACCGCCGGCGCTCTCACCTGTCGTATCGCATTGACCGGGAAGCATGGAGAGCAGAAGCAAGAGAAAAACGGTTCCAAGGCCTGCTAGGTTGTCGGTGAGTATCACGCTGTCTTTGATATTCCTTCGTTACAGTGGTCTGCGGTCTGTCATGGGCGGGCGCTGAATGCCATGCCGAGGACTGTGCCCTTTACTATAAAGGCCTTGTCTTGTCGTTCTAGAGGACAGATAGATGGAGAAGGCTCAACGCACCCCTCCTTCGATGACTAGAATAGACCGGCTTCGTCAGTGATGACTGTTAGTTATAGTCTTTGTCTTGGGAGAAGCGTAAGCTTATGGGGACTGAGAGAAGCACCCTTGGACTCGCACTTTTCGTCTTCTACCCCATCTTGATACCGTGAGATTGGTTGTAACATGTGAAACTGTAAGTGATGATTGATATCTCTGACAACCAAGCGAAATCAAGCTAGCCGTCCGTCACTGTATATACATCTATATGCCATATCTGGCTTTGTCCTTTGTGCAATTCTTTTTTTTTCTCCATTGTTTTTTTGATATTCTTCCTTTTGTGGTCTACCCCCGTTTACAGCCCTGCCCACCAACCTTCAATACTTTCATTCATCAAAGATGACGGCTGTGACTCCCCCAGCAACGGTGGCAGCGGCCACGACACCCCCGATATCGCCCGTCTTGACATTCCTGCTCAGGATAGCGACCCGGCTATCAGCCTGCAGGGCCACGGCAATGAGGCTGCCCTCCTTGTTAAAGGTGAATTGGCGGGGTCCCCGGCCGCCAGCAGCCGCCTTCTGGCTGAGAGTGAGGGTACCGGTGGCTTTATCGATGGAGAAGGTGACGAGGGTATCAGAAGGAATCTCGGCAGGTGCCTCCTCGCCCTCAGGACCGTCCTCGGGGGTGGGGTTGGGGATCGAGAAGGCATCTTCCATACGGGAAGAGATGGTAAGGAACTTGCCATCGGGCTGGATAAAAGAGATTTGTTAGATCTTGTGTTACATCTCGGCATGCTGGGGAAAGGAGAGGGTAGCACCCAAAAGAGCACGGGAACATGGAAGAGGGGGCAATGGCAATCTGCAAAGGACCGGAATAGGGAGAGGGGATTGAATCAGGATATATCTTGAAGCGTTGACTTACGGATACGAGAATTTCAGCGGCGGCAGCGCCCTCGGGCACCTCTTCGCCTTCTCCGTGAATGGGGATCACGAACTTCTCGAAGAACTCGGGACCGGTCTCGGTGTAGACGACATCATAGCCGGTGATGGTATTGGAGAGTTCCGAGATGAGATACAAGAAGTAGTCGCCATCGTCCTTTTGGAGGAAAGAGATGTGGCGGGGCCCAGTTCCGGGATGGGCAACAAGGGCCTCGACGGGGGTGATGGAAAGGCCATCCTCCTCCGAGATGAGGAAGATGCGGACCAGATCGGCGCCAAGGTCGGGCACGAGAATATACTGGCCCGTGGGGTCGAGAACGGCCTGGTGAGGGTGAGGGGAATCCTGGCGGCCCTTGTTGGGGCCAGCCAAGTCCATGGAAAAGGTCTCGTTGGCGAACGGGGTCAGGTTTTCGGGATCGGAGACGTCGATGAGGTTAAGCATCGAGCCAGCGCTAGGCATAGCATTAGCATTGGCTTTGAAAATAGATGTACACTTCTCTCAATACGGCAAAGCGGGCAGACAGAACAACCAACAGTCAAGGCTTTTATACCACTCCAGGGACAAACGAAAGAAACGAAAAAGAAACAGGAGACGGATCATAAGAGGGCCAAGGGTCAACGTACTAATGCGCAACGGCCAGCCCACCGTTTCCATAGAGCACAGAGCTGACGGGGCCCTGCTTGGTATCGATCTTATTCAAGAGGAGGAGCTCGCCGTCGTCGGTAGTGCGGAAGGACGACATGGAGCCGGTGGCCTTGGTGAGGCCTTCATCGGAGCAGTACAAGACGGCATTGTCATAATCTAGTTCCAGCCAGGCGGGGCTGCCGGCGCAGCCATCGGTCGAGCTAACGGCGACAAGGGAACCTGAGCCCGGGGGTATGGTGGAGCCGACACATCGCGCGCGGGAGGAGTCGGGGCAGCGAGGGTGAGGTTAAGGGTGGTGACGTCGCCAGAGTACGATGAGGCGTAGAGGAAAGCGGCGGAGGCCTGGAGGGTGAAGGCGGCGAGGGCAAGGAAGCCCCGGGGAAGGAGGGTGCTCTGCATGGTTTTGGGATGTATAAGGAGTGACGGGGCAGAGGAGAGGCGTGGCGAAGAAGAGAAAGGAAGGAGACGCTAGGAGAAGGGGGAAGAGAGGAGGAAGGGGGAGTAATGAGGCAGAGGAGCGAGTGAAGAAGTCAAGATACTAAAAGAATGTATAAGGTTTCAACCCTAGTCACGGACGGGCCAGGAAGAACGGGTAGGGAAAGCGAAGAAGGACTACTTGGAGAAGTAAGCGCAACGTTGTGCCATCCATTGCTCTTGTCTACCCTCTCATCTTAAACCCGCCCAACTGCATGGGCTCGGCTGGCAGACGCCCAGCTTCCGCGCCGTGTTTCCCCCGGAACTGTTCAGCTCCACCTCATTCATTCACCCGACTGACAAGATTGCGGAGACGGAAACGATTCCCGTTGCCAATGCTCACTGCTCACTGCTCACTGCTCACTGCTCATTGGGGTCTTTTGTTCTCTCTTGAACGCTTCGGCATCTTTCTCTTAATTACTACTATTTTCTTCCCTCTTCCCTTTCGTTTTATTTCCCCCATCCTCTTTTGGCAAGAGAGACCAACTGGGATCCCACCTTGTTCCCTTGTTCCCCGTCCGAGGATATTAAGAGTAGAGTACCAAACTTTGGCCTTCCCATCTCCCACCATTCCCGATTAGGCAATTCTGTGGCCCGTTTCCCGTTCCGGCTGCCGTGCCTTCCCCGAAAGCAACATTACAAAAGGGAAGGAAGGACGAGGGGAAAAAGAGAAAAAAAAAAGGTCCCAGTGAAAGACAGAGGGGAGCAGTTTCCGCGAATGGTAGGATGCGATGGGGAAGTCCTCTATATGAGTGGGGGACCAACATACGAAGCAACTTATTCAATCAATAAAATATCGCAACATGCCTTCCGTCGTTTCCAAGTTCGTCAGTCCTGTCCTCTCGAGAAAATGGGTTTGCCCTTCACATTGAAGCCCATGGCGGACGACAAGCGTGTGAGATGATAGGGTCCTTTCATAAGCCGACTAGCCGTCGAGCAAGCCACACAAGCAACTAGACCAGGATCCCCCAGGAGCAAGGCGCGATCTTGGTTGCATTTGTCTGTGCCTTGCATCTCCAATCTCTTCGATCCGCTCTTTTCTGTCCTCGTCTGATGCCTCGTCTCTCGTCTCTCGCTCCTCCTTCTCTTTTTCCATCTTCTATTTTTATTCGATTCTAGAACTAGCGTCTGGCGCCTTCTTTGAAACTCAGACACACGGATAAGATAAATATGATGAAGATGGCCTTCTTTTAGCTTGAGAGAAGAATCGTGTTTCCTATTCGATACCTCAACTAACCTCGTTTTGTTCCTCAGTTCTCGTGGCGCATCCTCCCCGCATCCCCACACTCTCCTCATCATCTACATCCGACAAATTTTCACTGCCGCGCACCCGGGGATATAGACATCAATTTATCACTCAAGCCCTATAATGCCGACTACTTCAATTAAGCTATCACCGCATTTATTCCCTTCAAGTTGTTTTTCTTTTTCAAGTAATAGTTTCCCCATCCCCTCTTTGACTTTTTCATCTTGCTCTGGCACATTCTGGCTGTGGAGTGCGCACTAACACTACAATGGCTCGACTCTCGGAACGGCAACGCCTTTCCACGTCCCCGAAACCCTAGTGCTGTTTCCCACGGACGCCCGCACCAGCCACAACGGCCCGTGGTTCTAAGGGGAACTTGTGCGTGTAAGCGCTTCAATTTCATGACACCACCTCAGCTTGAGGGAGAGGTTGCGCACCAGAAACAGAACATGGGCTGTGTCTGGATTGGCTGATGCAAGCGTGCCTCTTTGTGTTACTCGTATTTATGCACCTGTTGGTCTGCTTTTGACGAAGAATCGTGCTGTGTGCTCTTGCTTTTTCTCCCTCGAGCGAACGGATTGTCCTACCTCGAGAGTCTTCGACCCGCGTTCCATGCATGCGAATTATGCAGGTTGGTTTCCCCAGTCACTGCTGGCGGGCCTGACCCTGCTCCGTGCCCCTTGCCCTCTGTAGCCTTGCCTGTCTCTGTACCTGGACTGGCAATTATCACCCGGTGATCTCGGAGTCCCCGTCTTCCGCCCATTTCCATCCCCCATGTAATATCCACCCGTCCCTTTTTGAGATAACGCAAGCTCTTGCAAGATGAAAAATTCGCCCTTTCCCTAGTAGCATGCCCGTCTTTCGAGCGGAAAGCCCAGGCAAATGGATGGAAAATGGTAAAGAAGAATGTCGCGGAGAAACGAAGAGGTCTAGGAGTTAGGGTTTACATCAAGGGAAGGGCTCCAGCAATCTCGATTTGAGTGCCGTGCCGTCCTCTGATCTCGGAGAGTTAATTCTTGGCCTAATTCTCTTACCTTTCCCTCTCTATATATCCCCTCTCGTTATGCTTTTGAGCACTTAATACAGAATTTTCACCTCCCTTCTCCAACGGGAATGAAGGGGAGGGGGGCAGCATGTTGAAGATTGATGGCATTGGGGTAGAAGAAATGAAGAAAGTCACGACATCATTGGCCTACTCCCCCAGCTTCTTGCCTCGGGAAGGGAAGGGTGGAAGACACGTGCCCTAAAGTGAAGGAGAAAAACAAACTTAGGACGCAATATGAAAAAAGGCCGATATGAGGAATAACAAAGGACATAAGGGTCAGAAGAAGAGGGGTAGCGGATAAGTCGTCGGCCCAGTCGAGATTTTGGGGGATTCCTGCTACGTTTCCTCCCTAATACTAACTAAAGACACCGCGATTTCGTTCCCCTCCCCCACTCTATGGCCCTACGCGGCGTAATAAAGCATTGTCCAAAGTGGAAGAAAAAAGAGTATCACGGAGGACTGTTCCCTGAGCGCAAATCATCGATCACCGTCCCGCTGATCTGCGCCTGCTCTACATTGAGAGGGGAAGGGTAGTCCAAGATCTACCTCTGCCGCAAGGGGAAGCTCTCCCGGGAAACTCATAGCAAGGCCTACATCTAGTACATGTTTTTCCTCTTTTTCCATTTCCCGATATCTCTACCTAAAAGAGGGAGATTGAGGTAGGAAACACTGATGAGGGGCAGTCGACAAGCCAACAAAACAAGAATCAGATGGCGTCGAGCTGGATCTCGCGAGGGAGAGAAAACAAAAAAGAGAGCACATGCAAGCAAGAGGCTAGGGGAAGGAGGATTATAGAGGGGAAAGCTTTTTGAAATATATTATTTATTGTGCTTGTTTTTTATCTTTCTTTGCGGTTTACTATTCCCGCCTGGTATCATCCGCTTCCACTCGAGGGGACAACGAAACTTTGTACGGGTCCCTTCCAAATGCTACTAATTCCAACGTCACCCCGCGCTGCGCCATCTCCCTGGCCCGGCCCGGCCTGTCCAGTCCATCCCCTCCGCTTCAAACAATCACGTGCAGAGGAGGTTCCCTCCAGTCCGTGGGCGAGATGGGAGGGAAGTTGGCTTAGGTGGCTCGTGCCAGAGAGCGCGCCGTAAATCCAAGCGGGTTTGCGAGCAAAAATCTCCAAATCATGCCGAAACCGATCTCACCCTACCATCTAACATGCAAAAATTAGGGTTGGCGTTGTTGCTACGAGGCCCTAATAGTAAGGGCTGGCAGCACTGAGTTTATATAGGCGTCGTAGTTCCCCTGGAAGCGGACATGCTGTAGGGCGCCTGTTCAAAGTGACGTTGGTTAGCTACAAGTACAAGGCATTGTGGGGACGGGGTGGGGGAAGAAAGCCCCTTTCGATCGGCATTCAAGCCTGGTAAAGGAAAGATTGAAAGGACAAGGTGACTTACCAAGACTTGCTTCGCGTTGCAAATTCGCCACGCGAGCTTCTTGACATTGCCATCCGCCGGTACCACCGCCGCTGCAAACTCTACGCCAAACATCTGGTGAATCGCGTACACCACCCTCTTCGCGTACTTGCTGTCCCGTTCCACGTGGCTGCCAAACGGCTCCTCCGCCGCGCTGGGCGCGATGTCCGGATCCCGATCTAGACAGTTGCGTACGACGGGTAGAAGCGCCTCCTCCGCGGCCCTCTCGTACGCTCCCGACGACGCATCCACTTCCACGTCGTCTTCGACAAACTTGCCGATGCGTACTTCAAACGGTTGCGATATAGCCATGACGTTGTGTCGTCCGTCGTGATGTAACCGGAACTCGAATACTCCCTGCGTCCACCACAGTCGGTCACCGGAGAACGTCACCTCACCCTCCACGAGATCCGGGGCCGAAGGGTCCGTCTTCTCCACCCGACGTTGCGAGACCGTGATCGATTTGTTGTTTGCCGTCTCTTCGTCATACACGCCTTCGTTGGTCGGCGTCCATCGCCCGAGGGATGCAATATCCGTCACCTCGCGCGAGTGGTTATCCGCCACCATGTACAACCCGATCCAGTCCTTCTTGCTGTGGTGGGCAGGCGCCCGCCACTTAACCCTGAGAGGCGCGCCATATTCGAAGCTAAGGGTCTTGGCACCGTCCTGTCGGAACCTAGCCGCGACGCTCTCCTTGCCCGTTGCCCGCTCGTCCAGAGCCCCTGCGCCGGAGGGAGTGCCGTCGACTTCGAGAGAGTAGTACTTGGGGTCAAACCCAGCGAGGTCGGGTGCCAGCCGCGTAATGGTAAGCCGGGCGGGGAGTTGAACAGGGCCGAGGTATCGCGCACAATGGTCTTGACTCCGCTGGCGAACTTGGGGCGCGCCGTGTCGAGGAACTCCGTCACAAAAGAGGCAGTCTCATCCCATGCCTTGTCCATGCTCTCTTGCCAATTCTTCACGGGGAGGCAGCGACTTCTTGATAAACTTGGTGAGTCCAGCTTCGTTGCGAACATTGCGGCCGTAAATCTTTTGCATATGGGGCTTTTCGACAAAGGAGATGAAGCCCCAGGTCAGAATCTGGTTCATGAGGGCCATGATGAAGATGGCTCGACTCCACGTGATGAGCGCGGCGCCCCAGATGCCCGCCGAGCCGAGGATTCGCTCGGGATTGTTGAGGAACCGGTAGATGGATGTGTATGTAAGCTTGCCGCGGGAGTCGAAGAAGAAGTCGCCGAAGAACCAGCCAAACTCGCCCAGGGACTCGTGGATGCTGGTCGCCGTCCAGACCTGCAGCGCCACGAGGCCGCCGCCGAGCACGTGCTTCAGTGGCACCCAGCCGTAGTTCCAGTCCTCGGGGGTGTGTACATCTTCCAGCAGGCCGCCATCAGCGATGCGTAGCACATGGTCGTACTGATGTGGTACAGCGCCTTCCACTGATTCCACGCTTCCACGGGAGTCTCGCCATACTTGACAAAGTGACGGGTCCAAAGCTTGTTCCTCGACTGCAAGTGCAGAATTGCTCCGAGCCCAGCCGTGAACCACACGCGCCACACGGCAGCGTGCAAGACAAAAAGGAACTGATAGAGGGGCGTCGACGGAGTGACCAAAGTCAGGATACCGACATATCCGCACAAGAGGATTACGGTGTAGTCGGTGGCCCGGAAGAGATCAAGGTTCTTCAGGCCCACAAGGTTGTGCACTTGCGAGAGCGATTCTGCCGTACCTGTGCCCGAAGAGACGGCGTTCGGGACCGCATCCTCCGCGCCGGTACCTGCGGAGACCTCGGACTTGGTGGACAAGGTCCTCTTTCGGGGAGCGGGGGTTGTACGTCTTCTCGATATGGGGATTTTCGACAAGAACAAGGAAAACGAATTGGGCAACGTGGGCGACAATAGAGATGAAGAGGACATCGTAGCTGGCGGCCATCATGGAAATACCATAGTAACCGGCGTACCCAATGGAGTACATGGGATGGGGCGCCATCTCGAAGACGCCATCAAAGGTCAGCTCCTGGTCGATGAGATAGAAAAAGTCGCCCCAATACCAGGCATAATCCTTGACGACACGGTGAGCATCGAGCTTGACCCAGAGGTTGAAGCCAACGAGGCCGATACCGAGGCCCCACCTTGTCAGGTAGATACCTAGGGATTCACCGGCGGGAGGGCTAGAGCACACAATGGCGAAAAGACAGTACGACACGAAATCACACATGAGAATCAGGTCCACGACCCTACGGAAGAGGAGCCATGTGTTGTACTCGAGGGGCGCCTTGTCGAATTCGTAATCTTCGGGGATCTTGGTCTCGAACTCGCGCTTGAGCAAGTTGTACAGCCAGGGTCGGGGCTGGTTACCCGACGAGGGCGCTTCAAAGAGCCTCCATCGCCTGGCCCATGTCACGATGCGCCTGTGCTTAGACTGGACATTAAGAAGATAGCCGATACCAATGTTGTAAGAAGCCCTCCAAAACATAAAAATCAAGGCGAATATGGGGCGCTTGAAGCCGGGAGGAAGAGAGTAGGCCAAGAAGATGTGAAAGGCGAGGATCAAGATGACGGCGACATCCGTAATGTTCTTGGGCTCACGGGGGTCGAGGAGCTGGGAGACCATGTCGTGAGTCGCGGGAACGGTAAAAACTAAGAGAAAGAGCAAAAACACCCGGTGTTAGCCGCATACGACGGGGTCAAGTTTCGAGCAAACGGGGAGGCCCAAGAGGATCGGTGGGGGTGCTGGCTCGTGAGGGCCGAAAACAGCTCCACAAAACCAAGAACTCCTCCTGCAACCGGGTATCATAGTCGTACCTGTTCCCTCGGGCGTCCGGCCATACATCTTGTTTGGTAACAGGGACACATGGTCGCTATCGTTGGACTGGTCGCTAGTGGTCGAATCCACTTGTTCCAGAGGGTGGTGGTCATCGTCAATGTTTTTGAAGCGGCGGTCTGCCTCTGCCGAATGCCGCTTGTGGAAGCAGCACCTTCGGGATTGGCGCCAGACGAGGAGCTCATCCTGGACGTCGTTGAGGGCGTCCAGAAGGCAGGGCGAACAATTTCCCCTCCCCTTTTGGGATGCACGCGACTCCCTCGGTTAGAAGATTAAGGGCTTTGGGGGGCCGGTTTTTTTCTTGTTTGCAAGGGCTGCTGTCTTCAGACAACAGAGGGGGAGGGGTTTCGTGTTAGAGGGTGGTTGGTGGAAGAGGCAAGCTCAAAAAAGACACCCCGGGGATAGAGGTGTTCTTCTTAACTCGGGAGGTTAGGAGGGGGAAGGTTGAAATATTTGAAGATAGACCAGCTGAGGGAAATATATTTGGGTCCAAGATCAAGGGTTTCTTTTTCTCTTTTGTCCATTTTGTCCATGTGCGAGTTGCGAGTGGCAGGGTAGGATGTACATGTACAATAGTGGGGAAGGTGCGAACCAGCAGAGGATGGCAGAGGTACTCGGTACCCGCGGAGTTCTCGTGCATCCCGACTTGAGGGCCTTCAAAATATTCCTGCCCTCCAACGCAAACACGGCTAGCACCTTTGAGGCAACGCCTGGCTGAGCCTAGGCCGGTCTACTTGTAATACATTCTGTTTTCGATCCTGACACGTCGTGAGCGCCAGATCTCGCCAAGGTACCCGTCGAGAAACTGCTGAATGTAGCGCGGGAAGGGAAAAGGTTCAAAGAGGAGCACAAGGCGAAGATAAGAGACGCGACCCTATCCACTCCTCCCGCTTCCTTTTCGTCTGCCCCCGACCTCTCTCTCCACTTGCCGAATTCCTGTTTTTCAAAACAAGGCCACCTAGCCGTGGGTCGTGTGCCGCCGAACCTTTAGCCCACGGGGTTGGTGGAGAGCGCCCGGACGGGATGGAAGCCGCTGGAAGCGAACAATGGAACTAATTGAGCCTAGGCCATGGCTACCGAGAAAGCGCATAGGCTAACAGCATGATTTAGCACCCTTGGGCGCCTACGAGACAGAGAGGGTTTGCACACCCGCGCGGTCGATGGATCGCACGGGCAAAAAGCCAGGTGCAAACGAATATCAAAAGCGCAGGGAGCCCGACGGGGCCACCCCCACGACACGGATACGTTCCGGAAAACCGGTGTCGTCCAAATACCTTTGTGCGACTTTCGGGCCTGAAGAACAAGGAAGGTCGATGCGGGCATCCTCCGACCGCTGGATTCATTTTTGAGTTCCTGTGCAGGGTTAGTTGAAGGGGGCCATATGCTAATACCCCCACATGTCTTTGGGGGATGGGAGACTGATAAACGAGGATTAGCCGATGGGGGCCATGGAGTCCGCCCCGCGGAATTGAATCAAGAGACAGCCTGTCCGCCGTCAAAGACTGTTTCCACCACACCCTCACGCTCACACCCCACGCCTCGCCCGCCTCCAGCGCGCATGTGAGGCGGCAGGATGGGTGTCGTGCCATCGGGAACCGAAGTAAACAACCCCGCGGCAGATGCCAATGAGGGCTTGCGATGCTCGATCTCCAGTGCCCCGATTTATTGCAGACTTGGGTGTTGGCCTCCTAGATGCAAGAAAATGGTCCAGCCAAGGAAGAGAATTCGCACTCGAGGGACATGATGTCCGTGACACTATCGAATCGCTAGAAAACGGGAGGAGCACAGTAAAACGACACGCATACGACGCCTGAGTCGGGTGCAGCGGTATATCAAGCTAGCCCCAATTCGCTCAACCCTTGGCCTCGAATGACAAGGCATACTCGATCCGCGAGGCCCTTGAAACCCAGATGTATTTGCAAGCCTCTGGCGTTTTAAAAGTGCTCAAGGCAATATAGCGTCCCATGAATGCCTACAACATGAATGCCTTGTAATATGCGCCGTGATAGTAGCGCTCAAAACTGTCAGTAACAAGCTAGTTTCCTGATTCTCGAAACGCAGTGGTGCACTCATTTTTAGGTTTTTATCAGACAGGAGATGAAAACGTGCCCCCACGCTGTTCTCAGGTGATGGGCTTGCACGCAGCTCCCAAGAGCAACCCAGCAGTAGAAATACCAGCTTCTATGCCTCGCAATCTTTCCCATCAGCAACTTTACGGGATTCCATCGTCTAGAGTTGATGTTAGTGAAATAAAGGCAGCTCGGTGTTCTTTGGTCCTTTGCGGTCATCGCCAGATGTTGCATGTTGATATGGAGATACCGCCAACGCAACCAGCGCCCAAAATCATTGTTTTCCTATTCTGTCACTTTTTTCCTCTCTAGATAGCATCCATAAGATCACGAAGGGGGCTGCGGACTCAATGCCTCTTCTCGCTCCTCTCTCACGTCACACAAGTCGTTGGAATGCTCAGACAATTTTGCACGCTGATCTGAGGATAGGTCCCTCGGTATGACGCAATTCCGTGCTCCAAAGAAAACCGCGGGGCACTTTTTATCTAATCGATAGAAGCAACCAGAGTGAGACATTGATAAGTTCGCGGCTAAGGCAGCGTCAAGCGTTAGCTTTTCAAAACAAGGAAAGCTGGTGAGTTTGATAGTTTCAGATTGATTTGGAAACTTGGGTGCTTTTTTGTTCTTTCCTCGTCCTCCCCGTCCGAGCAAAAGCTGGCGCCCTGTCCGACAATGCAGTTTTCAATTGGATCATTCACCAGGGGCCTGGCCTTTCACATGTGATCAGGCCCCGACATGTCAGTGTGCAGCTGCCCCTGACGTGGCTGTTGCTCGTCGATGTACACGCTACATTGCAGGGACTTTGAGCAGCACCAGCTGGCACGTGCCCTATTGCGCTGTGCCTCTCGACCCTATTGATCGTCATTGTCGTTTGTTAGGAGGCGGGTGCCGACGCTTGACAAGGTATTGATCAATCAACCAACACTCCCCTCGCACATCAACGTTTTGGCCGGATCGGAAACTTGCCCACAAATGCTCACCCGCTATTAGGAGCTGGTCCACGGTTCTACCGTAGCGGACATCCCCAAATTTTCGGGACCGGCAAAATGGCTGCCGTCACGGCAATCGCCATCTCATCGATGTCGACGTGGCCTTGGAAAACCCACTGCTGGCTTGAGTCGGGTGGTGCCTGGACCTCAAGCATGCGACGACGTTTACTGAACAAGAAAATCAGATACATGTAATACAAGGAAGGAGGTAGTGCAGCCGGGATGGAAAGCCGACTGAGAGGTGGTGGTGCCCTCCAAAAGAGCATGCATCCGTCGATGCTCCGACGCGGGCTTGATATCCCGCGCGGGGAAGGCAAGGCGATTCGCCGTCTGGAGTGTGGGGAGAGCCAGGCTCTGGTTGAGTCGGAGTCTTCCGGCGCGCCCACGGCGGCCTTTACTTGCCCCATCTGGTACGGTATGGGGGCATATTGGATCTGCCCATCGCGAAGGAATCCTTCGGGTCTCCCTCCGCAAGCCAACTACATCACATCGTAATGTCGAGCCCCTTCAACACATCTTCAGATATTTTACCTTGCTTTATTTCGGGTGACAATGCCCGCTGTTTCTCCAAGCGCGGTCTGCTTGAGATCCCGCTTCCCTCAATCCTGTCTTGGGAGTTGGGACGTTGTCAGCGAGCCATGAAGAAAAAGGAAAAGGAAAAAAAAAAAAAACGTCTGCGCTACACTCGAACAGGCCAATCTCATTCTGCCAAAATAAGAAGCTCAACCAGGGCTAGTGATCCCAAGGGCCGGCTTGAAACAATGCCAGTCCGTGTGTTCATCCCGAAAGCCTTTGCCTGGGATTTCTCTATCTCATATGCGCGTGCCATTCGTCACCGCTCGGGGTCAAGAATATGGGACATGGGTATCGAGAAAGGTGGAAACCCAGTCTTCGAGAACCCAAAGTCACCATATTTTAGCGAGGATGAGCGAGGAGGTGAACAGGGGAAGAAATCCCAAGGGAAATGGAAATAGGCATTGATTTTGCCCATCCTTTGCTCTTTCTCGTCGGAGAAGACCATATACCCTAGCTCTTTCACTCGTGGCTATTCTCCCACACCGTGACACGCGTTTGATTGCATCGTCATGCGAAACCATCCCAACTCCACCCCTCGTCCGGCCACCCCTCCAAAGACCCTTGCCTAACCACGTCAAGAGGAACCGGAGGGAAAACCCCCGAAAAGGAGGAGGGTCTCTCCCGTAAAAGGAAAAAGACGGGATAGAAGAAGGATGGAAAGAAAGAAGAACGAAAAAAAGAAAATAGAAATGATTGATTCACTGTGGATCTTCATGCTCTGACTCGACTGATCCCTGGTCAACCCAGGAACCCTTGAGAGATTGGGAAACCACTCAGCATTCTGCCTACACTACTAGGTCGACGGCATATGAACCTGGACGCCCGACTATCGCACAGTCGCATGAATTACCCTTGATTGGGAGGGGAGCCGTAGTGAAAGCCCGCTCGCCGGGGCTCTCCTACTCGAGCTGGGGGATGAAAAACCAGTCAGATGCCATCGCGGGTGGGATATAAGACGGATGACCCCTGGCTTTCCCTCATCTCTCTCCTCCCCTCCCTTCCCTCTTCCTCTGCATGCGGATTTTGCCTTCTCGCCCATCATATAGTCGGTTTGGTATTTTTCTCTTCCAGCCGAGAGCTTACTATATAGCAAAACGAAGAAAACAAGAAGAAACCCTCTTCTCAACTTGGACCGCCAAAGCGAATAACCAAAAAGGAAGCCTTTTTGTCGCCCAGCTCCATCCCACCCATGTTCTCCAGAATGGCCAAACCCACCACTCCCGAAGAGCACCCGTCTTCGGAGGCCCCACCGCCTCCGGAGAAGGACACCAAGCCCTTTGTGGTACCTCGCCCAGGAACCTCGGGCACCCTCGCCAACCTGACAGACACGCGCCGCCACGCCGCCCAGAAGCTCAAGCACGCCCGCCGCGCCGAGCGCACCTATCGCACGCGCAAGCAGGCCACCATCGCCCGCGCGGACGTGTCCGAAGCCCGTGCCCACTACACCGAGGCCGGGAACCACCTGTGCCTCGCGCTGAAGCTCTCGTGGGCCGCCGTGCGCGGAGCGCCCGCCGTCGCCGGTGAAAAGAGCCAGGGGGTCAAGGGTTGGTGGGGGAGAAGAAGAAGCAGAGGGCGGTGGTGGAGAGGAAGAGGCTCGAGGAGGAGCGGAGGCGGTTGGAGGAGAAGTTGGCCAAGGAGCAAGCTGATGACGAAGAAGGAGGTAATGGAGATGAGGAGGAGGGGGATGAGAAGGCAGAGGAAACGGGGATAAGGACAAGGCGAAGAAGACCAAGGGTAAGGGCAAGGCTTAAGCTGAATGGCCTCGGCCTGACGGCTTTCTCGTCCCGGACCCCTTCCGTGTTGTTCTCTCCCTTCCCTAGCCCTATTACTCTTTCCGCTCCCTCTTCCCCCTCGCTCCGCTCCTCCCGGTGACCCCGGCACCCGGGTTCGACATATCCGACCTCACATGCTCCCTAACCTCTAACCACCCATCTCCTCGCCATTCGAGAGGCTTTGGTACGGGAGGCCATAACCATCCTCTATTCGCTACGCGATGACCACCTTCTTTACATCATACCAACGTCGAGCCCAGCCAATGCAGCTCGATGATATTCAGCTCCACTCTCTTTACATTTCCTTTTTTCTTTTTTTTCCATGGTCATTCTCTTATTATACCAAACGCAAACAACCAACACCAGCTTTCAGGCACTCTGGGGTTCCTCTATTCCCCGCTAATAAGGCTCCCGAATGGTTCAAATCTATTCCCGTTGCCTACATTGATGCCCATCGCTCTCTCTGTTTTCTTTTTCCCAAGTTTCTTTTTTTCCCCTAAACAACAGATTTCTAGGAGCTCTACAGCGGCTACGCTTGATGACTAGTTAGGCAGGAGACGGGACTCTTCTACCTATCCCTCAAACGGCCGCGTACGATCTCGTCTTTTCTCGTCTTTGATATTCCGGGCTTGGGTTCTACGATTAACGTCTAGATCTCAGGGCTCCTCTCTCTCTCTCTCTCATTATTTTTTGAACCCATATATACTCTTTCCTATGTCAACAGATTATCATGTTTATTCACGGCTGGCGAACTGGGTTGATCAGGAGAAAAAGGCGGACATGTACGGAGTACACGGAGCTAGATTCTCAGATGGGCCCACGTAAGGCTAGCAATTGATCTTGAGCGTTCTTCTCTCTATTACCATGACCAAGGCACTCTACATACAATCTTTTTGACCTTGTTCTATTCGGTTTACCTGGTGACAACTTGAAAAGATACGTCTAGTGTATGGACATTCACGGCGACGGCGGATAGCCCTACTTCTAGAGTGGTGGGGATCGCCTCTGTTCATACTCCACCCCCAGATCGTGGATATGCGTGCCAACCAGAATCAAGGCAAATGATCTAGATACCATAGTGAGGTGCCCCCGTACTGTTCAATGCCGTTTTTAGTTTGAATTCATGACTACGTCTAGTTAGAAACGACGGAAATGACATGCCCGAATCCCTGTCCCCCAACCCGAGGCCGGGCCCGACCCTTGGTCAGGTCTCGGGAGAAAATAACGATTCGGTTCGGAGCTCCCGTCAACGAACTCCCTCCCCTCCTCGCCCCAGAATGCTTTGCCCCATGACGTTCCATTTTTAATCTTTCCATAAAAACCTTTTCCCCGTTTCCCTTCTTCGCCGCCCGAAGAATCAAGGAAAAGAGAAAAGTAAAAGACACGATGACGAAAGAAGAGGAAGAAGAACAACAAGAAGAACAAGAAGAAAACCACATCAAGTCGCCGCCTTCTTGGCAAACTCTACTCTGAGGATCAAATGCTTGAAACCGAAACCGTCCATCTTGTTGCACGCCTTGACGGCGTCTTCGCGGTCGGCAAAGCTGATGAAGGCGAAGCCCTTGGCGAGACCCGTGTCCTTGTCCTTGGCCAAGAAAACGCGGGTGACCCTGCCGAACCGTTCGAACATATCGCGCAGTTCGCCTTCCTCGGCCATCTCGGAAACCTAGAGAGGGAAAAAAAAAAAAAGAATTAGGGATAGGTTCCAGTGTGGGGTAGGGTAGAATTGGATGGCAGGGGCCCAGGGTTGCGGTTGCAAAGAATGGTTCCCTCGGTCGTGTTCGGGTAAAGGATAGATGCGTGGTAAGACTTACGTTGGTAACACGTAGCGTGGCAAAGTCGTCCCTCTCGCCAAACTTTCCACCCATACGATCGCCAGCAGCGGCAGCACCTCCACGGAGCGCAGGAGGCACGTAGGAGCCCTTCTTCGCCGCCGCCGCCGCCGCCGCCGAGGGCATGGGCTCGTCTCCCATACCGGCCGCGACATCGGCAGCACCCGTCTCGCCGACAGGCGCCATGGTGTCCTTGTACGGACACCTCGCGGTGAAATGCTCGCCGTTGCAGATACGGCACTTGACCTTCTTGTCCTTGAGCTGATCCTTCATCGCCTGCGCGTTGGGGTCCGTCTTCTCGTCCTTGGCGTCCTTGCGCCAGTTGATGCTCGGCTTGAAGATGATGTTCTCGCCCACCGACGTCGTGTCCGGAATCGGGCCGGGGGCATCCTTGGCGCTACCTCCAAATTTTGCCCACGTCTTGCGCTCCGCTACTCGCGGGTTCACCTTCTCCGTGTGCGTCGTGTACCGGACCCGGCGGGTCGTCTTGACCTTGAGTCCGCTGTCGTTGATGTGGTAGGTGATGATGGTCTTGGTGCCGTCTTTGTTGCTGATGGTCTGGGCGGGCGGGAGCTCCGTCGAGGGCTCGTCAATGTCATCATCGTCGGCCCAGTCGTGCCTGCGAAAAGGTGAAGAAGGTGAGTTTCCACGTTAAAAAGACGGCTGCTGTCTTTGCCTCCCGTGAACCATAGGTTTTTTTCTTTTTCCCCGGAAAGAAAGGGGATATATCGGGCAGCCTGAAAAGAAGGCGGGCCTGCAAAAGAGATTGATTTGATACGTACTTGGTCTTGGTAGCCATGGTGGGTGGTTTCTTTGGCTGTTGTTCAAAGGCTCGAATCGGGGCGGGGCGGTTCTGTTATCCCTGATCTTTTTCGGGGTTTTGGCTGATTTATGCTTTGACGAGATCAAAATTCCGACGTCGTCTGGAAAGGGCTCGCTCGTCCAGATATCAAAACGGGCTCGAAGGGGGTTCGGGGAAAAAAGTTCGCGTCGACCTCTATGGCGGGGAATCTTCGATTTCAACTCAGTCTCCCTAAATTTCGCACTTTTCTTGTGGCGTTGGCTGAAAGCACAAGATTCTGTGGTGGGGCAAGGTGGGTGACCCCGACAGGGATAAATGGGGGTAGTTCTTCGGCAAAACTCGATATCGCTGTGCCGAGTCCAGGGCAAGCGGACATCTTGGTCCAGGTCGGGACCCTCCGATGCTGACTGGAAGCAGACGGCACCTCAAGAATATCATTACAGCTTTGTACGGTTGAAAATCGACAACTTTCAAATAGAGAAAAAAATTCAAAGGAAAAATAAAGTGGAATTTCATTGGAGCTATCTTCTAGTGGATATCCAGAAGAAAGCCAGCATCTTAGATCTGCTTGTCGAAATCATCACTAACGCCCAAACGCCTTGTCTGCTACCTAGGCGCCTTTCCGCCCAGCATATATCTGATACGACATAGCAGCTATTTATACACCAGCATCTATACATCTCGTAAAAGAATGAGAAAAGACAAAAAAAGGGCCTGGAGACAGAATGTCAGCTGCCTGTGGCATTCTGATCAGTCTTCGGTTATATAAGCGTCATGGGCGGACATCGAATCTTTACGATCGTCAAGAGTGAGGTAATGATACAAAGGAAACAGTGGGGTAGAGATAGGCTTGGATCCGGGCCCCGCGAGCGGATTGATAAATGGTCCGATCGGTGGGTGGGCAATCCAAAATGACTTGGAAAGAAAAAGAAAACAAGATGAAATGGCAAAGAGAGGGGTATAATGTATCACAAAACTAGCGGCGGTTCTCCAAAGCCAATAATTAAACCTTGACACGTTTCTGGGGGATAGGCGGGAGAGCGCAGGTTGGTGGTGGGGCTGGCGGCGGTCCTTCAACAAGCTGGGGCATGCTTCTCCGGTTCAAGATGGCCTGGGACTTATCGACAGACAAGTGGCCGCCAGCATGCTGTTGAGCCACGTTATTGTGGAACGGCAGCCCCTGTGTCTGTTTGGAAAAGGCACGCAGAGCTGAAATCGTTGGTGACGGCCGCGAGCCGTCCGACGCGTTTGAGAATGAGTATCGAGCGGTGCTTTTGTCTGCTACGGGCGCACGTAGAGCCTGGAGACTTGCCCGTTTCTTCTGCCTGGCCGTTCGCGTGGAAGGCGACCTGCTTCTTGAACGTGGATGGAAGTCCATGGACGACCTGCATTCACGTACGGCCTCGGCAGCCTCGACATTAGATTGGATGGGGAGGGAAGGAGTGGGCGAGTCTTGGAAGCGGAGGGTTCCGTCCATGCTTGCTCGAAGGGCCTGCATGGAGGCAGCCTTTCTCGGCGGCGTCACATTGAGTGACCGCTCATGAGTGTCCATGCCTTTTCCAGATCCCTCAGACTGGGCATTGGATGGCGGCTCCATGCTTTCGGCTTGTATCGCGGGAGGGGACAGAGGAGGAGGCGAAATGTTGACGACGATCGTAGGCTCATTCAGACTAGGGCTACTTGACTCAGCCGTCGAAGCAGAATGCTGAGGAGGCTCAATCTCTGAGACTGGAGAAGGCTGGTCGGCGACAATCGACAGAGGACGGGAGAGCATAAGCCCAGCTGGAGGACACCTCCTGCTGCTAACGCGAGGGGAGGCCTTGTTGATGCGGCGGCTCGGGCACGAGCGGCGGAGATTGAGCCGCAGCCTCTACGATCGAAGGTTTAACCAGCGAGTACCTTCTGCTAACGCCGTGTGGTACGCTAAAGTTTGGCGTCGTTGGACCGTACATCGCCGTGGGGTCGGAAAGCGGACTTGAGGTATAGGTGGAGTGAGGTCGTGCAAGGGGATCGATAAAGGGATGGATGGTTTGCATTGACTGCCGTCGATCGGCGATGGCTGCCGCGTTCGGCCGGAGACGGACCTCAGGCACGGGATCCCTGATAGGGGTGTCATCAAAATGGTTCGCGAACGTGTCTCTAGTTGGGGAACAAGCCGGCGACGAGCCCGCCGAGGTGATGATGGTACGCTGCCCGGATGAGATGTAAGAAAGGCGGTTTGCCCCTGTGCTATCTCGGAGACTGTCGAGTTGCCTGCCATCGTGCGAGACCACGCTGTTCGTTGTCGATAAATCGTCTGTTGACTGCTCCGGTGTCAGGGCCTCTACAACGGTGACCGACCCTTCAGCGTCTTCACTGCTGGTTACGGTTTCGGCGCGGTCACGCTGCCACCGCACTTCGTCGGGTTGGATTACCCGAGAAAAGCGAGTCGGATCCCTGACCACCAAGGTGCGCTGGCTTTGCTGAGATTCGATTTCGGAGTTGGGGTCGTTAGGCTTTGGCTTGCCCGTCTCGGAGAGGTGCCTCTTTCCACCGAGGCCCTCGATTTCGCGTCGCAACATTGTGAGCCAGGCGTCCATATCTTCTGCGCTCTCGAAGACCATTAGAAAGTTTGAGGCAGGGCGTTTCTCGTTGGGTCGAAAAGGAAGGCGAGAGAAAAGTGATCGCGAATCCGAAACCACTGGGCCCGTTGGCTCCATCAGAGATGCGACTTGAAGCACCCAGTGTCGGCCCGGAATAACATCGCTGGCAAAAGCCGCGGATCCCTTTCCAAGGTGCAGTATTCTTTCAGGAAGGCGGTCGAAAGGCCCTTCCCCGAATATTGCAGCAGATAGCCAGAAGTGACTAGCACGTAGATCTTAGTCGTCCATTCAAGCATATTAGAAAGATTCCTTCGGTGTTTTCTCCTCCTCTCCGCGGCAGAGATATCGTCACCAGCGTCGAGCTCATTTTGGGCGTTTCTCTTGTCGCTTAATCGTAGGATAGTATCGGCAGAATGTGTACAGGCCGGAAGCTGAGCGTGGCGAAGCGCTTGGGGATACGCCTGAAACAGCGGTGGAGGCTCCCAGGTGGCAACTACGCTGCTCCTAACCGGTCGCAGCGCCGGCTGGGCCTCATAGCGGCTCCAGGCGCCGTAGGCCGTTGACGGACTGAGACCGGTGGGGAGCTCGGGCTTTGAGGTGCACTAGGGTCGGATATCGTTGGTAATGTGGTAGTAGAGCGCGTAGGGGGTTGGCGCCCCCATAGGACGTCCAGCTGCTGAGGTCAACCCACGAGGCACGTATACCTCCTGGTTTCGACAGTTGACTCGGCGATGGTGGAACATCGACATCCTTTCCTGTCTTCGCGCGGCCGAAGAGTCCTCGCAGCCCTAATCTCGACTCACGGCGGCCAAGCTTCGTTTCGGGCTTCAGCGGAACGCGCTGGTCGTCGCTGGTGATGACTTGTAAGTCCGGAGGTCTAAGTCGGCGATGGTGAGGTATTTGAGTCTGCAGCGTCTCTAAAGGGCCGCTTGATGCTTTCGGCTCTTGCGCCATTATGGAGCGTCTCTCCCTTGGGTCGAATGGCGGGAATGGGAGCGGCCGAATAAGGGTGAGAGGGTGAAGGGGAGAGATTCGTACTCCCGGGACACCCTGGAGTGGGGAACTAGGTGGTTATAACGGGTCGGGTTGGCTACTAGATTTAGACATGGGCGGCTGAGAAAAAGGTCTGCATGAGACAGAGGCCAGGAAATAAGGCCAATGTGGGACCGAGAGCAGAGGAAAGGAGGATAGGGACAGGATTAAGTGTGGAAAGGTACGCGCCGAGAGACCGGATTGTTTGTGGGGGTTGTGCTGGCGGGACGGGAGGTGAGAAGCTACGCTTCACTCAACGACATTGAACGCTCGCTAATACAGTAAAAACCTAAATCGAGAGACTCGAATGACGCGCGAGTGGCTTGTTCAATCTCTCGAGTCGCGTTTTCTTCCTTGCCGGATATTCTGGGTATATAGAGCAGGTCGTGTGGTGTTCAGGCGAGCCAGGACCACTCCAATGCAGCGAGAGGGGTGGGAGGCAGAGACAAAGGCATATGGAAGTGCGTGCACCTTCAAAGCGGCGTCCTCGCGTATATAATCGACCTCCACGTCGTTATTGAGAGGGGGTGGGAGGGCTTCGGCGCGAAAAGCAGGCACCCTTGCGCGAGGGCACGGCGAGAGAGGTGTTATTAATGGGGCAAAAGAGAGCCGAGTGGGCCAGCCAGGAGCGGTACGGTGGAGCACAGGCGAAGCTCGTGCGGTCTCAAGCGTTCCTTCCTGGGAAGGGAGCAGGGTTCTGCTGGCAAACACCGGCTCGGGCGCGGGAGAGGGCTTGTTCAATCAATAACAATGGCAAGAGCCCGGTCAGATGACGGGTAAAAGGATTGAGGAGCCGAAGAAACCAAGCGTAGGTGGACGAGATATTATTATAATACCAACCAAAATAAGCCGGGCTCGAAGAGTGACGCGTTGGAAGAAGAAAAAAGAGCCAGTGTGCCGGGGAAGACGACTATACTTGTAAGTGAGCAAGGTACAAGAGACCAAGCAAAAAGAGACAAGAAGAGAAAAGGAAAAGGAGAAAAGAAAAAGGGAGAAAAAGAAAAGGAACAAAAAGAAAGAAAAGGAACAAATAGTGCAGAAAGATTGATATTAACACGACGGCGGAAGGCCGGTTGGACGAAGTAGTTCGTACACGAACACACACAGCAAAGGACATGGGAGAAGCCGCCAAAATAGAAAGAAAAACCCACAGACGTAGGGCGAACTGGTGGCGCGCTACATGGCCCCAGGGAAGAAGGGAAAAAAGGGCTCGAGTGACAGTGACAAGCAAAGGGTCTGAGAAACGTTGGAGAGCAAATGTACCTGATAAGCCAGGGCACCAATAAACGGTACGAGAGAATGATGATGAGATGCAAGTACCACCCGAGGAGGGGCCAGTCGGCGAGCGGGAGGCCGGAGGTCGGGGACAAAGTACTCTACAGTATACATTGGTAATATAACGATTATACCTCCCACCTGCACCAGGAGTAATAATACCCGTACCCCATTGCGAGGGACTCTGACCGGCAACCAGGGTGGAAGAGGAGGGGGAGGGGGGGCGTGTGGAGGGGTGAAAAGTGACATGGGGCCACATGGAGGAGCAGGAAGGGGATGGGGAGCTCCTGAACGATTTGAAAGCCACACAGAGGGAAGGAACATTGAAGGGCACAAGCAGCGCAAGATGGCGGGAACTACTTCGTACCAAGTCTGGGTCTGGTCCAAGTGCCAGTGTGGAGTTGAACGACCTGAAGGTGGGACCCATCCTCACGAGGCGAGACGAGTACGACAGGGATATTCGTTTCCTCTTTCCTTTCCGCTCCTTTTGGCTTTTCATTTTCTCGTCCGGCGACATCGAGATTTCCAGGTCGGAGCAAGATGACCAGCAACGGATCGAGTGGGCCGAGACAGGTTCGGCCCATCGTCTATGTATAAAAAGCGCCCATAAATTGGGCGATTAGGGATATGCTTTCCATGGGTTGTTTTTAGGCTTCGCTTCTAGAGACAGCATGAAAATGCAAGAGCGTGAGAGAGATAAGAAAAAGAAGAAGAAAAAAAAAAAAAAAGGAAAAAAGCGGCAAATTTTGGAAATGGGGAAAAGAAAGGGATACAACAGTAGCAAGCGAAGCTCGTGACGGAGAGCCGAGAGATCTACTAAATTGTGCCGCAGGCTCGCTTGTCAAAAGGCATCTGTCCATCCATGCCCACGTCCTCGGCGTGAACAGAAGCACAAGAGGAAGCCAGGGGTGGTAGCCGAGAATGGATCATCACTGTTGGGTGACGCTGAGGTTATCGAAGGCCGTTCTGGGCCCATCCCGTACTGTCACTCTCCCTCCAGTGTCGCGTCTTCATTCTCCCCCACTCTCTTCCATCCAAGAAGAGGGGAAGAAGGTAAGGAAAATCGCCCATGTAAGCCAGTTGAGATGGATGGAGAGGAAAATCAGGAAAAGAGGGAGGTTTGAGGCCTTGAATCATCATGCACCACTCCCGGGACCAGGGCCGAATTGTCTGGAATGGAGCCGAGACTAATAGGGAGATGCAGAGGGGTTTTTGGGCTTGTCGCGGGGAAATGCTAATAACGCCGCATTAAAGATCAATTGATGGAGGGTGGCCAGTCCGATTTGGCTTGGACTCAGCAGAGAGCTTGCAGCTCTAGATGCACAGGAAAGGCTGGTACAAGATGACTACGAAGTACTTGCAGCTTTACCCAAGAAAAAAAGAGAAAAAAAAAAAAAAAAAAAAAAAAAGAACCAAAAGAGCTGATGGATCGATTGATTCATGGGCGAGTACATCTGTGTGTCCTCCCATCGATTTCGATGGAGCCAACGCCCTTTGTTCCCATTCGTCTTCGTGCCTCTTCCATGGCTCTCCTTCGAGTCACTTTGACCTCCGTCCCCATTTGTTGATCACATTGATGTGCGCAGTGCTTGCTGTATTAATGCAGGCAGCTCAGTCATCCAGTTTCCAAAGATTGAATTCAATTGATGGTGGATCGACAAGTATGGATGTTTTGATTCGAATCCACCTTGCACGCGGTTCAATCTTGCTTTTTCCCCGTTTCCCGCCGCCCAGGAAAGTTTCCCTTTTCTCGGGTCAATCTTTTTAATCTAGCCAGACTTCTACTTTTAGCATCTGGTTTAATACTCGGCAAACCCACGAGCTTTTTATTCCTAGAATCAAATGATTCATCAAGCTAACTAGAGTAAGGGGAGAGCAAACAAGAGGTCGCCACCCTTAATCCACTAAATCTACAATCTTGACGTTGGCCAATATCGAGAGATGCTACCCCGTTCACCTCCACGACTCTTGTCTTGAGGGTGAGGAGGTACAGGTGGATACGTAGTCGATCTTTTTTTTTTTTTGTCAATACTTCTGAACGGCGAGGGCCAGGTGCCGTGGCCGTTGGGATTGAAAGGGAAGGGAAGAAAAAGAAGGTGCGCTGGTCGAGTCCTGCCATCAGTGATCGACAGTTTCCCGCCCCCTCTCCAACCTCGACCCCTCTATTCCGCCCGGAATAGCCACAGGCAACGCCGCCGTCTCACTCGAGTCCTGCAGTTGGCGACTTGCATCCATAAACTTCCAAGGCTGGTCGAGACGGAGTAATGCGAGCGCGCATGCTTTTTTTTTCTTTTTTATTTTCTCCCTCCCTTGGGACCGCAGCATCAATTCCACATTTTCCCGCTTGGAGCCTTCCCGTCGTACTCGCCTATTTGCCTTGAGCTTTCCACCCGCCCCATGGTTTTCTCGTCGCTCTCCTCCCGCGTCCCCTTCCGCTTGCCTGCCTGCCTGCCGCCCCATTAATACCCACGCTCCAGGAATCAAACCATCCATCACCGATCTTGCAATGGAACGATGGCAGATCGAAACTGGTCATCAACACAAAGGGCGACATTGATCGCTGCCCCCTCTTTCCGATATTTCTTCATTTCGCGTGCAATTTTTCACACATACACACAACTACCCCAGTTTTATGGATGCACACTAACCATCAATCCATCGATCTCGGCTTTCGCACTTCATGCAGGTACAGCCGTTCGAGCCACTGGTGCGAGAGATCGAAGGAGGCTTGCATTTTAGGGTCGGTCCACCAATTTTACTCCTCTAGCGGGAAGTGGGAGGGGCAGTTCGTAGGGTGGGCGACTGCTTTGAAACCCAAAATTCAGTCCTCAAAGTGCGCCCGCCACCTCCCCTCGCCCCAGAACAGGAAGGGTCAGCGCAAAATGATGGCGTCCGAAGAAGGGACCTGGGTCTAAGCCTAGATAGAAATGATCACCGAGGCTAAAACGAGGGTACTAGCACGCCCGCAACGCTGGTTCGACGTCTCGAGGACCAGGTTTTCTTGCTAGTACCGTTCTCCAACGTGAAAGACCCACCCTTCGATACAAGTGCTCACGTTAGAGACAAGGAAGGAGTGCAGTGGGGCCAATTATCGAAAGTTGGACCTGTTTGCTAGCCGAAGAAGTATTTAGAGGATACATGTATGGATAGCTACGCTACTTTCTCCCAGCTCGTCACCACAACCGAAGGGCCTTGCTTGGCCCGGCTGTTCTCTATCAGCATCATTCAAAGTCAAGGCCGACGCGGCTGGGTACCTGGGCACGAATCTCATCGCTTGCGGCTGTGGAGAGTAAGAGGTATACGCCATTGACATGTGCATGGCGTCGTTCGAAATGCCTTCAGAAGTGACCCCTTCCCTTGGACACGTGCCACCGGCTTGCGGGCCTCTCGGAGAGGAGGAATAAATTTCCCAATCTGACCTTGATAGCGAATCGCACGCAGTTGATCCACACTGCCAGCCTGTTTGCTGATTATACTTTCAGCTCGCGTAATCCCACATGGATTCCCGGGGGCTCCTCTCAAATCGCAGTACAGAATCTATCATATTTCGCAACCCTGCCCTGACTGACGAATACTCTGGGGAGTGGGGAAACATAGCTCGATCCTTTTTAGGGGCCTGAGAATGGGGTCCAATGGAGGACATGTTAACGTTAATTATTTCGTACCACCGGTTCTGGGCGCGTTTTCAAGCTTTGAAGACATCATGACCTCATCACTCGACCCCGTTCGTGGGCCATTCCGCCGCCTGACGTGGCCGGCTTGAACTTGTCAAATGCGCCATTGCGTGCACTTATCTGGGGAAACCGCGCTTCGAAACAACCTTAGTACGAAGTAGGTCGATCAGCGAGCTTACGAACTGTAATGGGACCGAGGTCCATTCGGATGAGGCTCCGCCATGTTTCAAGGAAACCTCTCCAAACAGGGTGTTCCCGAACGTTTCCTCCCATGGGGGAACGCAGCCGGGTTGCAAGATCTGCGAAACGACCGTTGATCCGTCGACGTCGAAGAATGAGCGAAAGGTGGAAAATTTTCTCCTCCTTGCCCCCTTGCCAACCTCGAAACTTGGCTAGAGCCACACTAAGCACTAAGAACTCGCAGATGTACCAGCATTCAAACGTTTGAGAAGAGGGGGTGTAGACTTTTTTCCTTTCTTTTTCGCTCCTCCCCTTGCGACTCCGACTATTCCCTACTTTCCCTCATTGTCGTTGGAGGAATCCATTTTCGCTTCGAGATAAACGTCACTCTTGCCATAAACGGAAAGCAACCTAGAAAAACTAAAGAAAAAAAAAAAAAGAAAAAGGAAGAGGACAAAAGGGGGTGTCTTTTTTCTTCTTCTTTGCTGTCAACTTCCTCTCTTGGGCTTACCCGCGGTATCTTACTTCTTACTTCTACACTAAGAACTCTTCGGCGTTGTTACACTCAGGCGCCTGTACCGAGTTTCCAACTGCAAATGGTAGTTGGCGACGCGTATCGCGGACTTGGTTGGGAGTGACAGAGGGGTCTGAGGCCAGAAAGCTGCAGCATAACGCATATTTTGGGGTGGGAGGAATCATCCTAGCGTACTAGGCCCGCCTATTCTGATCCCATCTTTCATATCCGAGAAAGTGATTCTAGTAGTATTTCAGAGGATGAGCTCGGAAGGCCCTCACAAAGGATATACAAAGGAAAGAGGGAAAAGGACCTGGTCCGACCCAACTTCATGTCACGTCTCAACCGAATTGTTTCACGGAATTACGTCCTCAATCCATTCGTGGGACAGGTATTAGGCACAGCCCTCCACCTGCAACCTAACCATGATCCACATCGTGTGAGGGCTTTCCCATCGTTCAGATGACTGTGGGAGAGTATATGCTTGATGAGGATGTCAAATCTCGCGCCAACCTCGAGCTACTGACGACAATCCTCGTAATTTTGGATATGTACTGGATGAATTGTCGATATCGGGCGTACATCAAATGGTCCACAAGCCCCTTACAAGTAGATGAGTTTGGCGGTGCAACCGCGGGGCTAGTTCTGTGCTTCGTCCTATTAGTTTGTGCGCCGCCTATTATATCCGTGACAAACCTAGCAATAGCAGTAGGTAGGAGCTGGACCTGAGGATGGAATAGGGATTTTCACACTCCGCCACTCCGCCGACATGATGTCGCACTACACAGGTTTTAATATCGGCAGTACGACCGGAGTGGTATTTGCAGTGCAACTTACTCCACCCCAACCCAACCTGTGAGAGGTGTCGCGCAGGGCCCTCATTTCACCGAGCCCTAATATTAACGCTTCGCCTGGAGTCATAACGCGGCGACAGCTCACAAAATGCATTGACGAATGCTGCTTCAGGAAGAGAATACTCCCAAGGATTATGATTTCTGGTCAGAGCTCCCACGGTCTCGACCCGCTCATCTTATCAAAACCCGATGCTTGCGATAGCGGTATTAGGAGGAGTGCTGGAGTTATTATTATGGACTCGGCGGCGGATCGATCCACGACTTGACCGGCGGAGACTGCCCGGCTGTTCCAGCCCAGCAGCCTCACGCCATTCTCTTTCAGCCATGATCCCGTCGAGCCCGGTCCAACAGTATCGATGGCCAGGCCAGCATTCCCAATCGTTCGGGGAGAGCAGGGAACTGGGAGCACAGGAAGCCGCAAACCTCAAGCCGGTTCAGCCCAGTTAGCGCTCGCTCGCCTCAAGTACCGGGCGTGAGGTCCCCGTTCCTGCAGTAGTGCTCTGGGTTGTCACTCCTTCGTTCCACGACTTGGACAGCCTTGATCCCCGACCACCCAGGGATCCCTGAGTAGTTCAGGTGGGTGACATCCTGCAGTGCCTGGCTGGGCGACTCGATGTGGTTGGCTGAAAACGGAAGACTGTGCAATCTCTGCCTGACAAGGAAATGACGGCTTGCTTCAAGGGAGTTTTGCATCACCTCGTGACAATGGTGCGGCCAGGTGGAAAGAGGTACTTGTACATCCACACCAACCATCCCAAGGTCGATTCGATTTGAAGGGCGAATGCGTTTCTTGAGGGGTGCCTCTTTGTTTGACGTTCATGGCAAAGGCCGGGCTGTTCCGAACTTGTCCTGCTAGATAAAGGGGGCTAACCAAAGACGCATTCGCAGAGGGCGATAGAAGTTTTCAATCTCGGAGGAATTTTCCTCCCCCTTCCTCGACCGACGATCATTCCATTCGTGAAGAAAAAGGAGAGAGAAAGAAAAAAATAATCCCTCCCCAAGCAGGAAAAGAGAGAAAAAGACTACCCCTGGCTTAATGGCAGATGTCAGATCCCAAGTGCGACCATTCTGGCGCAGATCTCAACGAATCCCAGCCTCTTCCTTGCCCCTGTCTGTCATGGTGAGCGGGCTTGCTGCCCAGCTTCCCCGGTGATTGACGGCACTTCTCAAGGCTGCGAAATGCTAATCCAAGCAAACCCTTGCCGGCGCAATCACACTAGTGAACAAATGAGAAGGGAAAATGCTGAAGGGGAGGTATAATTGAAAATCTTTGGTGATGAATTTTCAAAAGTGTAGCAAACGGAGCAAGGTCCACGCCGAGAAACCCAAAGGTCATGAGGGTTGATTGTGGGAGGAAGCAGCCATGTCCGTAATACTCCCGATCCCTCCCAATATAGTGAGTGACATGTCGCGTACGAGGGTCCTTTCGATTTTATTTTATTTTTGGATTTTTTTAATCCTTTCGTTGTTTTTCTTTCTTCTTATGTCTTCAATGATATCCGCTTCTCCAGTTCAAGGCTGGCCCTTAATCCCGGGTACATACACATAAGCCGTCAGGTACAGATCGTATCGTGCGATGTAGGATTCGACGCAGCAGGGACAATGCAGTTAACTGACCCTTGTTCTCGTGATATTTTCCGTTCCTGCATCAAAGGCAATTATCCGAGAGAACGGAGACGTGGAGGCAAAATTAAAGGCGTTCAGAGGCCCGTATCGAATCATATTCTTGGAATGGGGGATCAAGAAAGGGGCCACGCAGGCCCGGGACCAGTACTGACCAAGAGATGGATCTAGCCTCGGCGCCGCCTCTTGTGCTATGCTTGCTGTACGTGCACCATCCGGTGCCGTCACTCACACAGGTCACCCGAAGGCGTGAGTTCCAGCCACTTTTGCCTTGATATGCCCTCGTCGGCCAGGTTCTCATGTTCGTCAGCGCCCCCTGGTGCCTCGTGCGGCCCAGTTTGGTACCTATCTTGCGAAACCCACCTAGCACTCATACAAGTAGCCAGGGTAGAGCTCGACCTAGTCTCTTCAATGGATTGTTGAGTGAGATATCGCAAACAGTTCCCTTCCCTTGTTTAGGCCCTGTCTCGAATAATGTTATTGCCTCGGCAGAGAGCAGGCTGTCGAGCTGTCGAGCTGTTGACAAGTGTGCTTGCAGCTTGACGTCAAGAAGATAATATATGCCTAGTCCTGTTTTTGCGCTTCGTCTCTATAATCATCATTCCAATCACACACTTGATACCTCGGCACACAGCAACTCCTCCTTCACCCACTCTCATGTAGACAGCCTCCCGCCCTGCGCAAGGCCCAGTAAATCGAGTTTGAGGCTTCGCGCTTGCTCGCTCGTGGACATCGTGCTGTGTATATTCAATAATACATTCTCGATAATAACACTAATCTCGTTGTCAATTGGTAAGAGGAACCGCAGCCTGCACCACCGAGGCAGGCCGAGATTATCTCCAAACGGGGACAATAGGTGACTATTGCGGGTTTCTGCGAAAAGAGTCATCCGAAGAAATGACTCGCTGATGCCTTCAGGCAGGTGCGAATCTTCCGTCTAGGACTGTGCAGGACCGCGGTGGAAGCCGCCCCTCTTCACAATCAAACACACCCCGAACAAAGCCCGTCGAACCACCCCAGGGATGCATTACCTCATCAATGGGCCCGCCTGACCAGTCCCAGCCACAGCTCTGATGACTTCACACCACTAGCCCGCGCGCAATGATGTGATTGTCCTTTCCGCGCCCGTTTGTCCATTCCAAGTTCTCATCACAAGGAGGCTAAAAGGTGCCAATCGCATCATACTGAAGCAACTCAAGCTGTGCTCGGCCTCCAGGAAACGGACACGAAGCTGATTAGCTAGCCACAATTGAGAGCGGCTTCGATCGAAGCGAGTAGTTATTGTTCTCTTATTGAATTCTTTCCGGAATTTCTCGCCCGGGTGCTCCGAGGGTGTAGCCGCAAACATTGTCGTAGCCTAGGCTGGAGTAGTCGCCACCTGCCACTATTGGATCGTGATGCCATGATGCGCCAGGTGCACCTGCCTTGTGCCTTATGTGTGACAACCCCACTATTCTAAACCTCACCTGCTTCCGTCCGCAATAAATAGTCAGGTTCAATCAGCGCAGTTTCTTTCCCCAAGGCACATACGAACAACCCCCAGATCATTCTATCTTCTCGTCCATCTACATATAAGCACCTACAAGCACTTACTAAAATCGAATTGAATCGGCTGTACACAACCTTTACACGCCGATTTCAACTCGCTCCTTACCCCACCATCCAACCGCACCTGCCCTCCCAACTCCTATCAATCACACATATAGAGAAAGTATGGCAGAGCCAGCTTTCATTCATGGGGAGGACTCTCCGCCCCGATCTCCTCGAGCCCGGAGAGGCTCAACTACTCTACAGGCTGCAGCTACCTTGAACGCCGGACTCCAGCAGGAGGTCTCTCGGAGTACGTCATGATGCCCCAATCTCGATTCCATAGGAACATAAGCTCTCCCCTCGAGTTCGTCACTAACCACCGTTTGTTGCTTTGAACAGGATCTTCTGCTAGCTCACTGAGACATATGCGTTCCCCTTCTTCTGGAAGGAGACGATCCACCATTTTGATGAACCTCCAACTCAATGACCCCGCGGTCCCAGCTCCCGGCGAGATGGTTAATGATGAGCGGACAGGCTCCATCAACGGGCTTGGGACCTCGAGCCCCGCCTGCCATCTGGCTCCCCTCTGCTTCAGGCTCGGGATAACCCACAGCCGCACCACCACCGAGCTCCGAGCTTGGGAGAGCTACACCAAGAACTTGAGGCGGAGCAGGAAGCACAAGTGGTAGGTGGAATGCGTTCAACTGGTTTGGCGGGTGGGATCACGTTTTGTTCGCTAACCTGTGCGGGCTATCTAGAACCGATTGTTGCACATGATTCGGCAACAGCAACTTCAGCTTCAGCAGTTACAAGCTGCCCAGGGCCATGCCGTGCCCTCCGCGGATGACACGAGCGCCATCTCGGACCGATCCATGGCTCAACCGACCTCCATCCCAGGCTCTGGGCCACCTTCCGCCCTGCCAGGCCATAGCGGATCCTTCAGCCAGTCCCCCAGACACCGCCACCCTCGCAGCTCGTTTGACATGGCCAGAGCCGATCTCCACCGGCGTTCTCGCACTCCAAGCAGAGGTGCTAGCCGTGGGGCCTCTCCAAGGCTGCGCTCAACTTCAATCAGCGGTGACGTCAACGATGGAATGGCACTTAACGGTCGTGACGAGAGTGCTTTCTATCAAGCAGAAACTCAGATGCTAGTCCGCGAAAACCAAATGCTAAAACACCGTATTCGTGAGCTCGGTAAGTCCAATGCTTTATGAGAACCAAGCGGTTTAGGACAGACGCTAATTGATGCGACTAGAAAAACAACTTAGCGAGACACACGTCGTGCCGTCCATTCCCCACGAGCCAAGCAATCACTCGCAGCTTGCGCGGACACCGACGACGGATAGTGGAGTGGTGGCGCCCAAGGACTCATAGTCATGATAACCTTTTTTCTTTTTTGGAGGCTTCACGCGGATGGCGTAGATTGTGCACCTTTTTTCCCACTCCAGCTTGTTTCACTCACCCGAAGCAAACCTACCAAATGACAGATAGCATTACTCAGAAACGAAAATCATGGCATATCGGCTCTGTTTAATTCAGGCGTTTTAAAACATTTCATTTTTCTTCTTTTTCTCGTCCGGCGTGGCGTACAGGTTATTGCAGCTTGAGAAGACGATCACAGTTTGGGGCCATTCACCGATTCATGTAGTTGTTCCATTCTTTTTTTCTTTTCTTAAGAAATTCTATTCACCATATTTAAATCTCTTATTTATCTCTACTTCTTGAACCTTTGCTTGATTATCATTCTATTACATTGTCGTTGGTCACTTGAATCGTGAAATGCTGTCTCTCGATACCTGATATGACATGTCGAAAAGGGTAGTCGAGTGGTACCTGAGAGCTCGAGAATCAGTAGCTTATTCAAACAACGAAAATAGCCTCGCGTTTGAGACCTCCTTCATTCTCAACGACGTCAGCTCCAGACCACCAATTCCGATATGCGACTCCCATTATTGACTGCTCGTTTACCATTGCTTGCCAGGAGTGCCAAACAGCCCCGTAGGGCCATTTCTACGACGTCCGCCCACCATGCCGACTTCGCCCACATAGTACGTAGAGCGTTATTTCCAACCCCTCAACTCAAGCCCTTGAGTTGAGAAGTGCTTAAGCTGCCTTTGCAATCCATCCCAAAACCTGTAGATCTGGTTAAGCCAATTGACTCTCCATGTTGCCTGATATCCGCTTGTGGCCTCTTAAACCCCCTTCCTTTGTTGAAGATACCTCATCCATCTGATGAAATACCACACATCATTATCGCGAGAGTGGGGTGCACGCGCTTCAAACTGACAAAAAGCTCCAGGTCATTGGCGCCGGCGTCGTCGGCCTCGCGAGCGCCCGCTCGCTCGCGGCCCTCGGCCCCACGCTCCTCCTCGAGCGCCGCGCCATGCACGGGACCGAGACGTCGTCGCGAAACAGCGAGGTGATCCACGCGGGGCTCTACTACGGGCGCGACAGCCTCAAGACGGCGCTGTGCATACGGGGCCGGCACCTCCTGTACGATTTTTGCGCAGAGCACGGCGTCGAGCACCGCAAGACGGGCAAGTGGATCGTGGCGCAGGACGAGACGCAGTTGCGGGCGCTCGAGGGCGTGGCGAGGCTCGCGGGCCAGCTGGACGTGCCGGTGCGCTGGGTGGGCGAGGCCGAGGTGGCGCGGGACGGGGAAGGCGTGCGCGCGGCGGCCGGGTGTTTGGAGAGCCCGGAGACGGGGATCGTGGATTCGCACGGGTTCATGACGGCGCTGCTGGGCTTGTTTGAGGAGGACGGGGGATCATGACGGTGAATTCCGAGGTCGTGGGCGTGGAAGCCCTCGGCGGCGGCGGCGGCTGGAGGGTGGACGTGAGGGACGTGGAAACGGGGACATCTCCAGCGTGACGGCCGACGCTGTCGTCAACGCCGCGGGGCTGGGCTGCGCCCGCGTGCACAACATGGTGGCGGCCCCGACCGCCGCATGACCCTCCACTTCGCCAAGGGCAACTACTTTTCCTACGGCGCGTCGCGGCCCCGCCTCTCGCGCCTCATTTACCCGGCCCCGCGCCCCGGTCACGCCGGGCTGGGCACCCACCTGACCCTCGACCTCGCCGGGCGCATCCGCTTCGGCCCCGACGTCGAGTGGGTCGACACCCCGGAGGACCTGTCCGTCAGCTCCGCCCGCCTCGCCCTCGCCATAGACGAGATCCGCGACTACCTCCCTGCCGTGGACCCCGACGCTCTCGCTCCCGACTACGCGGGTATTCGGCCCAAGCTGTCCCGCTCCGGCTCCGTCACCCACGGCACGGGGTTCCAAGACTTTATTGTGCGGGCTGAGGAGGGCCATGGTGGTTGGATTAGCTTGCTCGGCATCGAGAGTCCCGGTCTGACGAGTAGCCTTGCCATCGCCGAGAGGGTGCGTCGCCTACTGCATGGATGAGCTGGAGATGGCAAGGGGAGGGGGCTGGTAGTTATGTGGACGGGAGAAGACGGTATCTTCATCTCCTTTCTTTCCCGTAGACCTTTTATTTTATCCGCAAAGCAAGCATCTAGCTAAAAAAAAAAAAAAAATTTACGACACACATATAGGCCTCATCAATGGATAATGAATGTATTGATGTAGAATTGATAGGAAATGGGGAGGAAACCATGGGTTTCGAGCCCAATCCAAACTGACGTATTTTGAAGATCAATGTACCAATCTGGGTAATAGCACCGAGTTGAGGAAAAGCCCGCCCTCTCACCTCCTCCATAGACAACTTAAGCCAGAATCTTTTGTATGGTATTCTCCCAAAAACGAAGTCGAGGGCTTGTTTCTCTCTCAAAGCGTGACACTAGTGGTTCAAGAAGAGATAGACGAGAACAAAGGACGAATTGAGCCTCAGATAAGAGACTGGGGCCTTGCGCTCTCCTGAGTGTACGTGCAACAAAACAAAAATATCAACTCGAAACCTGCGGATGTCAAGAGAGCACAGCACCTCTCTGGGCGAAGGGGGTTGACAACGAGCGGCGCGTAGTGCGTGAGTGAAGCGCTGGGCTTGCCGACACCCCAAATCGTAGCTATCAATGCTTTTCCTGCTTAAAAAAAGAAAACGAGTCCAAATCAAACGCCAATATCCCCAGTCACAGTCAGAGATGAAAACCGAAAACCAAAAGCCGGGTCGTTTTTTCTCATCTGTGGCTTTGGGGGAAAACAACCCTCCCCAAGAAAAAGTTAAGAGAGCAACAAGAAAAAGTCAAAAAATCAAAGACAGGTCCTGGCGCCTTGAACACCCGAGATACAGAGATACCGGAGTTTCCATGATTGCGTTAAAAGCGCGGAGAAGTAAACAAGAATGTTACATAGAGGTTTCAAGGTGATGTGGGCGGAAAGAGGACTCGTAAAAGAGAAGGGAGGAGACAAGGAAACTAGGAGGAATACAAAAGGCCGCAAGAAGGTGGTGTTGGTTATTAGCGGAGAGTGATGCTCGGCTGAAGCTTTCGGCCCATGATGTTAACGCGGTACTCGTAGATGCCGTTTTGAGCACCCACAAACCTGCAAGCTTGTTAGCATAGTTTCTCAAAAAAAAGAAAAAGAAAAGATAAACAAGGTTGCATCATGGAGTAGGGAAACATACAGCAGCCGCCCATCCTCGCTCCATGCTAGACCCGATGTGTTGTCGGGTTGGGGTGGCACCTGGTGAACCTCGCGGTCGTCGATACTACTACCCCTTCGCATGAGGTTGTCAAACTCCCTATCCGAAAGGAAAGCGACAAAGGGAGTGCGGTCACGCCTATTGTTATTGTTGGTGTTGTCATTGTCGTTGCGGATGGGATCAGAGGGGCTACCGTAGGCAAGGCTGTACAAAGCCTCTAGATCGTCGAAGCGATGGAGTCCCCAGTCACTGCGCCGCGACCGGTTGGATCGGGGAATGGGAGGGTCGCCCGGAGTAGTACTCGCCGCATTTTGAGCAGGCAGCCTTTGGGAGCTGCCGTTTGCCTCCTGGTCCCGCTCGGCTCGTGCGGCGGCTCGGTCAATGGTGCTGCCGAGGAAGAGGTCGATGGCCCTGCTGAGGCCGGGGCTGCTCTCTAGAGAGGGGGACTCGGTCCTAGATGATTCGCCTGGAGCCTGTGAGCGCCTCGCAGGGCGCTCGGCCCAGACGGAAACCCTGGTAGAGCCCAGTCGGGGGTAACGTCAGAGTGCCTATTGGCGGGATCACCACCTCTCTGGGCAGCGCGCTGTTCGCGTCGTCGGCGCCCATCCTGGAGGGCTTCTAGGATCAAAGTTTCATCCGGCGTGAGGGGGAATCGTGACGTCCGGCTAGTGGAGAGTCGTAGCGGGGCCGATCGTCCCGGAGACGATCTGAGGTTGAGGCGGTAGTTGCAAAGCCGTTGGGAGAGCGGTCGTCTCGGTCGCTGCGTTGTCGAAGAAGCCGAGGGTCAATCGCATTTCCGTCAAAGATCCTAATTTGCTGGCCGCCGTCTTCCTTGTCGCCAATATCGATGTGCTGGCGATAGATGAATCCGTTTCGAATGTCGGCGATGCCCACCCTTGCACGGTCTTCAGTCCAGGCGAGTAAGTCATAAGGACCGGGAGAAAACGCCATGTCTCGGATGGCACCGACCAAGGTTTCCGGACGCGAGGACTGGAAGGAGGTGATGAACGGATTCTTGGCCCGATCTGTGAAGCCGGATACGTCGAATATAGAGATGGTGCCGTATTGGGTCCCAACGGCTAGGTAAGCGCCCGAGTTGGAGAAGCAAGCAGCAAAACTGCCGCGGCTTTGTGAGACATCATTTCGTCGTTGGCTCTTGAGGAGGTAGGAATCGCGGTATTCCCACTTGTATTGCTTCTGACCACCCGAAGTTGACTCGATACGTTCGTGAACATAGAGGTAAGGGTCGTCGAGGATGGCGATGAGAAGACGGCCGTCTGGGGAAATAAGTGCTCGGTTGACGAAGTCGGGGTACGTCAGGGTATGGAGAGGGTCAATTTTCTCGTTGTCTTCAAAATCATTTAGGCTTACGATAGCCACCGTCTTGTCGTTGTTGGCGAGAACGGCGACGGGTTCAGAGTGTGCGCCGTCCCAGGGCGGGTTGTCCACGGGCGGGAACCAAAGCGTGATACAGTTGACACGGTCTCGAACTAGCTTCATACTTTTCGCCATGAGAAGCTTGGACCGGCTAGCGGCTCGCTCTAGTAGAGAGGGCATAGATGACTCGCTCATTGGGTGATCAAGACTTAATGGAAGTCGCGCATCTGGGTCGAGGTCGAGCTGCATATCAAGATCCCCAGGCTCGTGACGTCGGTCGAGGCGAACGGCGGTGAACTCGCCGGTTTCTCCGCCGCAACACACCCAGCCATTTTTCGCAACTAGGCATCTGGGCGAAAACGAGAGGATCCTGACGGTTTCGAGGTTATTGGTATCGGTGTCGAGCTTTAAGATGTGGTTGTTCTTCGTCCCACCGGGGAAGTATAAAATATTTCTACGTTCCACGCTGATGAGGGACCGTAGCTGCCAATGTCTAAGAGAGGGGGTTGTCTCGTAAGCAAACTCGCTCGTAGACCTGCAAGGCTGCTCAGGTGGAAGAGCAGATATCTTGGGGGTTTTGAGGCCGACTGTTGGCGGGGAAAATTGCGCGGGGACGAAAAGCAAGTGTGGAGGAAGTACAATTACAGCGATCGACACCGCGGGGGCGTGTGAAAGAATGAGAAGGGGATTGCGACATACTGGGAGCGCACGGGAATATGGTAATGTGTCTTCGACTGCTTCTGGACGAAAGCATCGGTCGGATAGAGACTAGAAAAGGGCTGTGGTTAGTGGCACAGCCAGAAAAAGAGAGGGCTAATGGCAAAGGGATGAAGCGCGTACGGTGCTTCGTCTCCACCGCCCATGGTGTCGGTCACGATATGGGCGACGGTAAAGGATTCATGGGTGAAGTGGGTGGCAAAGGCAAGGCTGCCTAGGGCGAGGCGATGCGGAGACCGCCCCAAGAAGAAGCTGGTGATGGCGAGTGGGGGTGGAGTTCAATGATGGCGCGAGATATCAAGACGAGGAGCGGTGGGGCTTGGGATCGGTGTGGTAGGCGTGCGAATGAAGATAATTCCCGAGTAGCAATGCTGATGGGCGGAGGAGGGGATTTTAATCAGTCGGCGGGTTGGTGTTATGGTTGTTTGAAAGGCGAAGGTTTGAGATTGGGGAGGCGAGGGAGTTTGGCATGACGTTCATAGAGTCTAGAAATCGTTCCGGGGCCGGTGGATCTCATGTGTGGAAGGGACCATCCAGCCATCAAAGGTGGGACGGGGGTGCTCCTGATGGGGAAGGTACACTGGGCTTGTATCTATTTGCCCTTGCATTGGAGGTATTCCGTATTATTCCCTATCCATGGATCCATGAGTTATGGCGTGGCTTGCTTGGGCGGTTATGGGAGGCAGGCGCCGGATTTCATGGGACGATGCAGCGGCCAGTATAATTGACCCAAGCAGTCTGATCCGCCGGCGAATGGATATCGCTGGCATTACTGGATGCCAGCTCTGCAGGGAAACTGAAATTTGAATTAGCAATTACCATTGACGGGAAAGCTGATAATATTACAAGTGCCATGGATGATCTCTATCACTATGAACGTTCCTCCCAGGCAGACTCCCAGGCATACAGCCCAGAGAGAGGGCATTTTGAAGAACCAAGTTGAAATTCTTTGATCTCAACAAACGGTCTCATTAGGCCGTTGAAAGCGTCTACGCCAAGACCGCAATACCCTTAAACGCCCTCGTCTGATACATTGATCTCATGAGAGCCCTGATTGTGTGGGTTCGGCAGTAGCACCAAACTTTGATGGGAGCCTCGAACCATATTGCTCCCCAGCACGAGAGTTTTTTTTTCATTTTTTTCCGTTTGATAAAGGAAAAGTAAAGATAAAAAGGAGAGCAGAGATATTGCAATAGCGAGGGGGTTTCTTCCGTTTTGCTTGCTTTTATTCGAAAAAGGGTATTATGGAATCATGCCTGGCAGGCTCGCCCTTAGATGGTACTCCCCAGCATCCGTTTTATCTCATTGCCCAGATTGAGAACTATCTGCGGAGAGCAATTGAGCCTACATTCTTTGGTATATTGCTGGTATTCATCCTTTGTTCGATGGCTCTACCGAGGTAGAGATGGTTCTATTCTGGCTGCCTTGAAGCTTACCAAACCTGAAGCATCATGAAGTACAAATGCGTGCAGTGGATGAATAATGCAACCACTTGTACATCCGACTGATGTAAACTTCGTTTAGCTTCGCTCTCTCTCTTTTTTTTCGTTTCTTTTTCTTTCTTTTTCTTTTCCACTTTAACTTGTCCCATGCTCCCCAAGATTAGCTAAGGATAGCGCATCTTGTCCATGAGCCTATGGATTGGAGCTAAAACAAAAGAAAAACGAAGACCAAGCTAAACTTTTGATGAGCTCCAAGTTCTGGAACGGGCTCTGGTCGTATGCCCGAGCGAGAGGCGGCTCAGGATAGTGGATGGGTTGGGGAAAAGAAAAGAGCTTCGGAGACAACTCGGAGTCCACGATTACGCTGCAAAAAGTAAAGGAGGCAAAAGAAGAAAAAAAGTCTCAAGGCGTCGGCCAAACGGATAGGCTGGCTGAGAGGAAGGATGAGTGTGCGCGCCCTCCTCAACAGACATCCATGGATCTATGGATCTATTCAATCCATTATCAGAACACTCCAGTCGGCGATATCAATAAGAGCTTCATGCTAGACTAGCTCCAGAGCTTCCGGAAAAGAGTCTGAATATTAATACCACCCAAATAACAGGGTGATTTTCCCCGGCTGGTGATGCCGAGGACGTTTTCCTAGTCAAATTCAGATTCGCCTCACGAAAGGCCGAACGGGGTGGCGCGACAGGAGCTTCCTTGCTGCGACCGGGGTGCTTCTCTGGTTAGATGAGGCAATGAGCATCCTCGGAAAGGACCCACATGGCTCAGAAGTACCTCCTATGCTATCAGTGCAGGGCGAGTACTTCGAAAGGAGCCATATATCACGTGATTCTAATTCCGTCTGTTTCCATGGGCCGGATTTACCGACGCGAGTTTCTGCGAAGGAAGTTTTTTTTTTTCTGGCCTCTTATTAGTATTCACGTCACCTGAAAAATTTCTACTCCTTTTTTCTCTCTCCTTTCCCATCAACCCATCCATCCTCGCGATATCCTCCCCCATTATCCGCCGTGTAATACTAAAATACCTTTCTTCCTCCTGATACCCATTCATTAATTCTTTGTCGAGCTTCATCTTCTCATTCATTCTTGCACATCACCTTCAAGATGCTCGCTTCGCGTCTTACCCGGGCTGTAAGTTGTCACGTCTCGACTCCGACTCCAAGCTTCCTTCATCCAAATCGCTAACCTTTGAGCTTCATCAATAGCTGCCCCGAGCTTCCCCCATCACTACCCGCGCTGCTGGCGCTTTCAGGGCACCTCTCGCTGCGAGGTTCGCTCGATTCGAGTCTACCGATGCGAAGGTCCAGGGTCCCGTTATCGGTATCGATCTCGGTAAGTTGAATCCATCAAATTCTCCTCATCTCGCAACCATCATCGCCTTGTCCTGGATAGCAATGGCTTTATCAAATCCTAGACAGTGAAATAGCTAACAGCATTGATTCGACAGGTACGACAAACTCTGCCGTCGCCTTCATGGAAGGTTCCATCCCCAAGATCATCGCCAACTCTGAAGGTAAGCTTCAAATCCTAATGCCCGCCTCTCCTTGAGTCGCCCCTTGAATGGTATACTAATCAGATTGTCTTTCTCCCCTAATAGGTGCCCGTACTACTCCTTCCGTAGTCGCGTTCGCCGAGGATGGCGAGCGTCTCGTTGGTGGAGCCGCCAAGCGCCAGGCCGTCGTCAACCCAGAGAACACCCTCTTCGCCACCAAGAGGTTAATCGGCAGAAAGTTCACTGATGTCGAGGTCCAGCGCGATATCAAGGAGGTCCCCTACAAGATTGTCCAGCACACCAACGGCGACGCCTGGGTCGAGGCCCGTGGCAAGAAGTACTCTCCCTCTCAGATTGGTGGCTTTGTCCTCCAGAACATGAAGGAGACTGCCGACGCCTACCTCACCCGTGATGTCAAGAACGCCGTCGTCACTGTCCCTGCCTACTTCAACGACTCTCAGCGTCAGGCTACCAAGGACGCTGGTCAGATTGCTGGTCTCAACGTTCTCCGTGTCGTCAACGAGCCTACTGCTGCTGCTCTTGCCTACGGTCTTGAGAAGGACGCTGACCGTGTTGTCGCCGTCTACGATCTCGGTGGTGGTACCTTCGATATCTCCATCCTCGAGATTCAGAACGGTGTCTTCGAGGTCAAGTCTACCAATGGTGACACCCATCTCGGTGGTGAGGACTTCGATATCCACCTCGTCCGCAACTTCGTTCAGCAGTTCAAGAAGGAGTCTGGCATCGATCTGACCAACGACCGCATGGCCATCCAGCGTATCCGTGAGGCTGCCGAGCGTGCCAAGATTGCCCTCTCCTCCTCTGCTCAGACCGATGTCAACCTTCCCTTCCTTACCGCTGATGCCTCTGGCCCCAAGCACTTCTCCACCAAGTTCACCCGTGCTCAGCTCGAGAAGATCGTTGAGCCTTTGATCAACAAGACCGTTGAGCCCGTCCGCAAGGCCCTCAAGGATGCCGGCCTCCAGGCCAAGGACATTCAGGAGGTTATCCTCGTGGGTGGCATGACCCGTATGCCCAAGGTCAGCGAGACCGTCAAGTCCATCTTCGGCCGTGACCCCGCCAAGTCCGTCAACCCCGACGAGGCTGTTGCCATGGGTGCCGCCGTCCAGGGTGCCGTCCTTTCCGGCCAGGTCAACGATCTCCTCCTCCTTGATGTCACTCCTCTTTCTCTTGGTATCGAGACTCTCGGTGGTGTCTTCACCCGTCTGATCAACCGCAACACCACCATCCCCACCAAGAAGTCTCAGGTCTTCTCCACTGCTGCCGACTTCCAGACCGCCGTCGAGATCAAGGTCTTCCAGGGTGAGCGTGAGCTTGTCAGGGACAACAAGATGCTCGGCAACTTCCAGCTTGTCGGCATCCCCCTGCCCACCGTGGTGTCCCCCAGATCGAGGTCACCTTTGACATCGATGCCGACTCCATTGTCCACGTCCACGCCAAGGACAAGTCCACCAACAAGGATCAGTCCATCACTATTGCCTCGGGCTCCGGTCTTTCCGACTCGGAGATTGAGCGCATGGTTGAGGAGTCTGAGAAGTTCGCCGAGCAGGACAAGGAGCGCAAGGCCTCCATTGAGGCTGCCAACAAGGCTGACAGCGTCCTCAACGACACCGAGAAGGCCCTCAACGAGTACTCTGACAAGCTCGACAAGGCCGAGGCTGACACCATTCGCGAGAAGATTGCCGGTCTCCGCGAGTTCGTCTCCCAGAGCCAGGCTGGTGAGGGTACTGCCACCGCCGCCGAGCTCAAGGAGAAGACCGATGAGCTTCAGGTTGCCAGCTTGAACCTCTTCGACAAGATGCACAAGGCCAGGGCTGAGAACAACCAGCAGTCCTCCGAGCAGTCCTCCTCCTCCACCGAGGGCGAGAACAAGTCTTAAACGACTGATGTGAAAGTTGCTTGAGCAACCCACAGTGTACAACCAAAACAAAAATCACGAATTGCCCACCTCAAGGGCACAATACGCTTCCCAAAAAAGCCTTGTTATAATACCTGGGGAAAACCATTTTCCATAGATCTCTTTTCTTATTCTCTTTGTTCCACCACCCATCTTGTTTTTGATTATCTGGACTGTACTCATATTTGCGCGTTTCCGCCTAGTCAAATCTCCTCCTGCTATTGCATGTATACTACCGAGTACTGTATTATACTGTACTACTCGAGAAGAGATGTGGCTGAGCGGCGGTTCTGGCAGTATTGGCGTTGGGGCATCAAAAACCTGTCATCCCTAGATGTCTCGGGGGATATCCTTTTACGATGGAGGCATGCGATAAGGAGGAAAACCAAAACGCTTGTACATATAAGACACTGTCAATCTTTTTGACGAAATCAATAATATGAAATCGCCACTCCAAACAAGAAGGGGACGACTCTTTTTTTCTTTTTAGTTTTCATTGAATGCTTGGAACTGATCTTGTTTTCTTCAAACGACACACCCCAATGATATAGACATAGACTTGATCTTGACTCCAGTCAAGTTTTCTACAGAACCAACATGGGGGCTTGTTGACCATGTCCGAGCAAGGCAGATGGTGGCGTCCGCTTCTTCCCGCTGCAATAATGTGAATGTACCGTGGGACGCAAACGCCTCTCCGCCTTTCGAATGCTGAATGCTGCTTCTCTACTGCCGCTCAAGACCTCCCAAATCCAAACCAACCCCTCTTCTGCGAAGTAGCGGGCTTATCCCCTCGGCCTGGTCGGGACGTTGCTTCTTGCCGGCATCGGCGGCCCTTCTTGTCGTCGGCGGCGCCGTCGAGGCTGGGGTACTCGATGTAATTCCAGGCGAGATCGAGGAAGATGGGCTTGGCGGGGATGGGGTGGAGCTTGGGGGTACTCGACAATGTTTTCGAGCTTGACGCCCTGGACGGGCCACTCGCCGAGCCTCTCGATGAGGGGGAGGTCTTGGCTGAACTGGGGCTTGGGGGTCGTCGCGCAGGCGCTTGTCGATGTAGCAGAGGGCGTGGTAGCGCTGCACCTGCCGCGCGAGGAGGGACTCGAGGAAGGCGACGTCGGCGGAGGAGACTTGGAGGTTTTGCGGGGCGCCGGAGGCCGGGGGTTGGGGGCCGAGGCGATGGTCTTGGTCGAGGACTGGATGAGGGTGTGGGCGTGGTGGAGGAGCGCGAGGGCGTTGGTGTTGCTGCCGGTGAGGGCGTGGGAGCGGGCAATGGAGAGTGCTCTGGATAGAAGAAGATGTTAGAAAAATGGAGACGTATCAGGGTATATAGAGAGGGAATTGGATCGGGGGTTTGAAGGGGGATAAGGGTAAGGTTCTTACTTGAGGGCGGTAAAGTAGTTTTCCGTAGCTACTAGTCGTTGTGTGAGCTCCTCGTCGGCGGGGACACCGGGCAAGGCCCTTGCCTCCTCTAGATTTTGGAGGGCACCGTCGTAGAGGGCGACTCTCTCCTTGAGCTTGTTGAGTTTTCGGCTCATCCTGACCTCCTTGGGCTTGCTGTCCTCCTTGGCCTTGGCCCTGCGCTTGAGCTCCCTCTTGGAAAGCTCAGCGTAATCGTCCAAGGCGCCATCGTGAGCTCCCGTAAGCACGCGGTTCCGGCCTATTCTCCAGCTAATCATCTCGTAGTTGACGGCCGTGCGCGTAATCTGCAGACTTTGCACGCGAGGGTCGGTCTGAGGGACGTTCTCCGCCCTGAGATCATCCAGGGCCTGCTTCGCCGCGTCGACGGCGTCGAGGGTGGCGGCGAGGATGTCGTCGTACGCCGAGGCGAGCTCCTTGGGGACGATGGGTTCCGAGGAGGCCACCTTGGCGGACAAGGCGGCTTTGGCAGCGAGGGTGGCCTTCCAGGCGAGAGCAATGGCGGCGTCCTCGATGCGCACCTCGCGCGAGCGCCACGTGAGCGTCTTGGGCACGTCGCCGGGGCTGGCTTCCTTCTTGGACTCCTCGCCCTGGCCGAGGACGGTGGAATCCCGTTCGTTGATCTCGTTGACGAGGAAAGCGTTGTTCATGGGGAAGGCGTTTCGGGCAATGACGTGGATGGGGACGGTGCGGGGCGTCTTGAGCTGGTAGGCGGCGAACTGGATCGAGGGCTCGATGATGGTGGAGAGGAGGTCCTTGTACGTGTCCGCGTCGGAGGACGAGGATTTGAGGGCGCTGTAGATGGCGTAGGAGACGGCGTAGTTCTTGACGCACTTTTCCCAGCTCTGCCTCTCAAAGTTGGCGGCGCCGCGCATCATGCCGGCGTAGGCAAAGGCTTCGAGGATGTCGGTGGACTTGGCGCCGGATTCGTCCGCGTCGCTGAGGGCGGAGACGAGCTCCTCGGCCGTGTGCGCCGCCTTTTCGATTCGCGAGATGATGTGCGATCTCGTGCGGCCCGTGATGCCCTTGGCGTCGGCCATGTGGGCGCTCCTCATGCTCATGGCATGGGCCCAGGCACGTTCGCTCGTTATGATGAGGAGACGGACATATCTAGGAAGAGGGGGCAAGGAAACAAGGTTAGTAAAGACAACATCGCCCCCGGAAAGAGAAAGCAAGAAAAAAAAAAGTGAAAGAAAAATCAACGACTCGGAGGGAGGAGGGGGAAAGAAGGAAGAAGGAAGAAAGGGGTTACTAGTGCGTCGTACTCTGGCTTCTCCTTGATCTGCTCTGCCGTGATTTCGTCCTTCCTTTGGTATTTCCCACGGTTCCTGGTGGCGATGCCGAGCTTTTTCCTCGACTTGAGAAGCCTTCGAGAAAGCTGGCCCCTGTAGACCGAGTTATCGCCAAAGGCCTGGGACCGGCCAGACACCACGAGTTTTGTGATATCCATTTTTTCTTCTCTTGCTAATTCCTCAAGAGGATGATGTCGCTGGTTCTCCGTCTCGTCGGCGGGCTTGTCGTGCCAATGGCGGGTGAATCTCGCAGGTCCTCCTTTGCTCAACCTGCCCGTCGTGCGTCGTTTCGTTGGCGTTGGCGGGGTTGTCTGCCGTGGGGCATCTTCGCTGTGGTGGGCCGGATTGTTGCACTGTACTTGATACTACGAAATACTTAGGGTCTACCAGATTTATGCATATAAGCAGTATTATCACGCCAAAGGGGCAGCCTTTGGGAGCAAAGTCTAACAAAGCACGAACCTGAAGAGACTTCAGGGGTTGGATAGCTAATTGATCTGTCGTGTAGGCTGCATGAGCTCGGGGTCAAAGAAGAGAGCCAGAGGCGACTTGCGCTCGTCTTGGGAGGTTCCATGGCTTAGAAAGGCGACAACTGTATATCAAAATCATTCAAGGCTGCAAGTTTAGATGGATTCTTTCCTAACATATTATAGAGTATTTATAGCTAGCTGTTTAATACCTTTCCCTTATGTTTGAGCTTCCTGGCTCATCGTAAATGTTTCTTCTTATTCTTTTTCTTTTACCGGCTTCTTCTCAATCCTCCGGCCTCCAGTCAATCAAACATCGAACGATTGTTCCTGGACTGTGCGGTAGATTATCGGCAAAACTGGCAAATTGTCGGAGTGTAGCGACCAGGAAGAATCGGCTGCTACCGGCGACTTCCTTTGGTGCATGGGCGAAATTTCTACGGCCTAGCTAAGAACACGCCATTCGACGCAGTCGGCCTCTTTTTTTTTTTAGTCAAGTAACTAAACGTTCGCGGTCGACCTTCGTATGCGGCGTGTCTTGTCCTACTCCATGGACCCTTCCAGGGGTTAGAGTGTGCAGTGGTTTTTCCTTTTTCTCACGCACATCCGTTCCCGAAGCTCCTTTCCCCTTGTCCTCGATCGCGAGACGGCTCGGCTATCCGGTCCAAAGCCACTGATTCCACGCGCACCATCCGACCGATTCTTCCCACAGGGATGCCGATTACGCAACACGATTTCACATCATAGAAATAGACAGCAGTTGTCTTTGTGATACCCTTTGTTTCACTCCTAGTTCAGCCCCCAATGCTGGAGAGGACAGCGTCCTCCCTCGAGCAATGCGCCCTCCACCGAATCCTACACACCTCCTCTCGACCCGCATACTCCCGTCGCAAGCTGCCCCCAACCTTTTGGATGCATGGGGCGGCGAGCTTAGAGGTCTCTGCAGCCTGGGTGGCCTTGGTGAGGGGGCGTGGAGCTCGAGCGAGGCAGGTTGGCCAACCCCAGCGACACGCGACGAGGAGATCCGTTTCGAGCGGTTATGACGCCCTCGAGGCCCTGTACGCATCTGGTACGGGCGCCATCTCAACTCTCAGGAGGACTTCGGCTTGCTTGGTTGACGGCCATGAGAGATGGCCGCAGTCCCTGTCCTGCCTCCAAACGAGACCAATCTCTACCTCGGCTACTAGCCGATTCCTCAACTTTCCCCAAACGACCGAATCCCTTGCTTCGACGACCGTCCAATTCGATGCCATACCAGCCACAGAAGAGCCTTCTATATGCTACGCAAAAGCAGAACCGTTATCAGGGCCTAGTTCAACGTCCACATCCACCTCCGAAACCCTCAAGCCGTCCCCTGGTGGCCTCACACGACTCCGGTATCTAATATCTAAGGGTGACGCGAGTGGTACGATAGAGGCATGGTCTCTTTTCAAGGGCCTCTCAGCTTCGGCGCAGGACGAGCTTCGCCTCGAGACGCTCCGTTACACAGGCCGACATGTGTCGAGTAAAGCGGAGGCAGCTCAGTGGCTGTCGGTTCTTGCCAAGATCCCGAGCTCCTCGCTTGATAATGACCTCCTTTTGATGGCCGCAAAGGCCAGCGTGGTCCTCCACTTGAAGGAGGATGCACTCACCTACTTTCGCGCAAGCCTAAGGCGCCGCCCATCCCTTGACTTTTTCCAAGAGATGGTGTATATCGGGCTAGCAACAAAATCATGGCCTTTTTTCGAGACTCTTGGCACTTCTGGTTCTCTCATCACGGCTCAAAAGCGCCTCTTCCCTCTTTCGAAAGGATGCGCTCGATACCCCGTCTCGCCAAGGTGGTCCTAAAATTTTGGCCTGAACTAGAGGCTCAACGCGGCACCCCGCTACCCGATATCGCTAATCAGGATGAAGCCTTGTCCCTCGGGGAGGGACTTCTGCCAAATCCCGGGATACCAGCAGGGCAAAGCCCAATCGCCACGCCTCTAGCCTTTTGACGCCAGAAACTCAGATTGGCCTATCCGCTTTGATGGCAGAACCTCCTGCTGTGCCAGACAACTCATGGGGCTCGGGATATAAGGCTGGCGCTGAAGCTAATGGAACCAGGTTCGGACCTAAGCAGCAAAAACGGCTTGTCAACTCTCTCGACTCCTTTCTCAAAGACCTCGCAGAGATGGCCCTGTTCCAGCCCTGCGAGTCTAGAGAGGCAATGGGCCTTCTCCACCTACTTGACCGCCCCGAGCTATATGCTGAACACATCGTAGATGCTTTCCAACGGCGAGAAACTATGCATCTTCCTAGACTATTCAAGACTTACAAACGGTACGGGCTGGCCACCATGGATCCGCGAGTACCGCCAATCATGTTCAACATCTTCTACCCTTACGATACCGCCCAGTTGCTCCCGCTACACACCTACTTTTGTCGCGTGCACTACAACAACGATAAGAGGACCGACCAAGATCGCGCCGCTTTACGAGAGTGGTGGTCAAACTACGCGGTACGGGCAGCTTTGAATGACCAGGCGAAGGACCCGCTGTCTTACAAGTCCTACATCCGTGTATTCAAGCACTTTGGCGATGAGGAAATGGAGCAGTTTGCACTAAAAGACGTGACGGAAAAGCTCGGTATTCGGCCGGAGCAGATGAATTGGTATCGCGATCTTGAGCGCTACTACACCAACAAAGACTACAAAGGCGCCATGTACGCCTGGTCCGACCTTAGTGCAGGTGCCAAACCAGACATTCATACCCTAGCCACGGTCATGAAGCTGGCGGCGGACAATGGTGATCTTAACTATACCCTCCAGATGTACGAGAAGGCCAAGACGTGGCGCCTTGACCGGTCACCCCACATACTCATACCCGTTATACGCGCCTTTGGAGACAACGGGATGCTGCAGCAGGCTAGTAGAGTGTGCACGTGGGCGCTGGAAAACGATATCCGCAGCCCGGAGCTCTTCAACACCATGCTCTCCATATATGCGGCGAACCATCGCCTCCACGAGTCGCATCGTCTGATGAATACGATGGCCCAGAATGGGATCGCCTGGGACAAGGAGACGTTTGTCCATCTGATAACGACGTTGGCGCGTTGCAAGCAGGGCGACAAGGCGTACGAGCTTCTAACACAGGCGATGAAGATGCACTTCTGGAGAGTCACCAGCCATCACTTTGAGCTTGTCATGGCCGGCGCGATGAACACGCACAAGTACAGCTTGGTCTACGCTCTGGGCGAGCGCATGAAGAAGGAGGGCTTGCCGGTGTCCCTAAACGCCTTGACCTTGTTGGCCAAGTCGTCGCATCGTTGGGCGCAGTTTGCCAAGGAACGTCCTGGCCACCCGCCGCTCCCTTCGAAACTCGTCACCGGACGCGATCTAGTCGAGCATTACCGGAAACTTGTCGCGGCTGAGCTCCAGTCGGCGCGAGATGGCGCTAATCTCGGCAAAGCAAAGGGCGGGTCGTCGAGCGAGAGCGTCAGTACAGACGCCAAAAGCCGCGCTTCATGCTTGCCCTGAAGCGGGTCGTCTTCACCCTCGCCGAGATGGGAGAAAAGGACCTGATCGCCGAGGTCAACGGAATTTACCAGCAGTGCCCTCCGACTGAGTGCTCCGAGCGGGATATCCCGGACGGCATCATTACCGCACTGATGATTGCCGCGCTCGAGCGAGGCGAGCACCGCAGAGTAAAGAGCCTGTGGAACGCGCTGTGGGAGCGCAACCAGCGACTAAGCGTGGCCGCCGTCGACGAGGGCAACCGGCGGGCGCCGCGCGCGAGGATCCCGCCCCCGATACGGTATAATCTGGATGAAGGGTTCCGCACGATGCAGCAGGTGCTCACGCGGGAGAGTGACGCCGAGGGGCTCTTGACCATATTGCATGAGCTCACGTCGGCGGGCTTCAAGCTGGGCCGCCGCAACTGGAACCACACCATCCAGGCACTCGCTACCATGGGCCGGGTCAAGGAGGCCTTTACGTTCTGCGAGCACATGCTGATGCCCAACTGGATGGGCTGGAGGCATATGCGTAGGTTCAAGCTTCACCGCCTCCGCCGCAGCGTGAGCGAGAATCGGCCTAACCCGTCCGAAACCTCGGCCGAGCTCCCTGATGCTCTTCAGCTACATCTCGGGCCCTCTGCCATTGCCACCACTCCCGCCGCTGCCACCAGTACCATTACTGGCGCATTCGCCCCCAAGAGTCGCGATGCTATCACAACTCTTGCTCCCGGTAGCGCCAGATTTTACAGCACAGCACACGGCCCGGAGCAGCCATCCGTAGCCGCGTCATCCGAGGCCAGCTCATCTCCTTCCCACTCCTCTTCCTCCTCCTCCTCCCCTTCCCCGTCTTCTGCCGCCGCCTCCCCTCTTCCTCCTCGAAACCATCACCACGATCCCGCACCCCCACGGCACAGGAGGACCCCTCTGCCGAGAGCCGCTCCCTCGCGTCAGCGGAGCAGCGCTACGCCGCCGACCACGCCGCCGTAGCCGACTTCCTCCGCTTCCAGTACAACGCCCGACAGAAGCGGCGGTGGCAGCGCCGGCGCAAGGAGCGCGGCCAGTCGGTCGTGCTGACGCCGCGCATCCGCCAGCCCGGGCTCAACCCGCGGCACCTCCGCCCCAACGCGCAGACCCTACACATGCTCGCCCGCATCTACCTCGAGATGCGCAGCGCCGACACCCGCTCCTCCCAAGACGCCGACACGAGCCTCCTCCTCTCAGCCTCGTGCCCTCGCACCGTCCACGCCATCATGACGCTGCGCTACTCGGACGACCCCGAGGTCGTCCGCTGGTTCGGCGACAAGGTCGAGGAGTACTCCTCGACGACGACCCCCGCCCCTCCCCGCCGAAACGACGCGGGCGTGGACGCCGATGCCGACCTCGGCGACGGCTCTCTCACACCCGCCGAGCGCCAGAGGCTGCAGCGCAAGAGGGAAAAGACCCTGCGCAAGCGCCGCGCCTACGTCCTCCCGCCCTTCCAGGAACGCGTCAACGGCGTCTTGGCCGCCACCTCCGCCCTCAGGCGGAGCAAGAAGGCGGCGGCGACGCGCGAGAGGATCGCCAATAAAAAGTTTTATGCTGCCTGGGAGCGGCGCGAGGTTTCGTCTGGTGAACCGTTGGGAAGCGAGTGATGCAGGGAACGTGACGGGACAATGTTCTTTTATTTGTTTTGTGTTACCATTGTATAAACAGGGGTTTATCCTCCTTTTGGAAAGGAACCAAGGAGGGAAAAGAAGAAAGAGACTCTTTGACGAAGGGGACACATGATGGGCTACAAAGGAAGACGGCTCGGGTCTTCTCTGTCGTTTTCCCCTCGGTCCTGTATGAATAATCTGATGCTAGATAATTAAACAACACCGGATATAGAAGTTGGTTTACAAATTCGTTTTTTTCCTCCTCGTTGCTCCTGGAGCTCTTGTTCCGCCCCTACTCTCATTGTATATGATATCTAACCCCTATAAACATGATGAAGCTTAAAAGTCCACACATCCATCAATCTATTTATGAGCAATGCAGTTGAGACTTGTATATCCACTTTTAGGTACGCTATGCTATCTATGTAAATGTTGCCTGCTCAAGCGTTGCTTTTCCAATAAAGAGGAGGGTTGGTATGTACATCTATTGACTCGCAATATAGGAGCAAATTCCCTTTTCTCTTCCTTCTTCTCCATCAAACTCCCCCCGTCTTTAGACTAACTAGACTCCTAGCCCACAGACGCAAAAGATTCCAAAGAATATGACCAAGGTACTACCGGGAATTACCGGAATGAAGACATCGGTACCAGAACAAGTTATTGAGAGGAGTAAAAGGCATGGGGAAAATCCAAAACAGATAAGAAAAATAAATGCCTAGGGTATGAACAAGTGGGAGGAGGGACCGCTAAAGGGCGAGGGTTCAATGTTGAAACCCGGATTTCCCGTACAAACGCCGGATATGTGCTGTGTTGCCATGTGCTTATGTATGAAGAAAGACAAAGAAAATTGGGTATGCGCAAGCTAGATGAGGTGAGATTCCTATTCACCGTGGCTCCCACCGTTCTTGGTGTTGTAGGTTTTGTCGCTGTTCAACGCCAAGAGACCGGAGCCTCTGAGACAAGAGGCCCTCCTCCCCGGGACTCCCAGAGGCGCTCGCGGCAAAGGCATTCCCTCCGTAGCCGACATCACCTTTACTTAGTTTCTCGTAACGCCCAATCTCCCAATGAGCATCACCGCCTAGGTCCGCGCGCCGTGGGGCATCGGGAGACTGCATGGCTGCGCCGGTCGCGTCCGAACTTGCACTAGCCTCGCTGTCCATCCTATTTCTCGACGGGAAACGGAAGGGGACGGGATCCACGGGCAGATCGCTAGGCGACGCGAAATTAAAGGGGATGGTGAACCCGATACTTGCGACGGCAGTGGCCTGGCAGATCCAGAGTAATGGTGGTGTTGGTCGTCGCCGTTGTGAAATACAGGCGTCCCATACGGTGGATAAAAACCGGCGCTTCGTCTGCGAAATGCCTTCTCGGCCGCCAGCATGGCCGCCGACCTGCTTGAGGCAGAGGTGACAGGGGGTGCATGACGCGTATAGGCTTGTAGGGCGAGAAGCGAGGCTCGGGCCATGTGGTTTCGTTGCGGAGCTTCACCTTGCCGTCCGGAACACGGTTGGCAAAAACGAGACGTATGCTTTTGTACATATAGAAACGACCTTTAGAGGGACAGCAGATGTGCAAGTGGACAAGGTAGCGGAGAATAGGGCGTTCATCCGCGGCAGCAATCTCTTGAGGTAGACCGTCGACGATGGGGCCGGCAGAGTAACTACGCTGGCGGATAAAGGTTTTGGTACCGGGCTCCATGCCAGACAAATCGTAAGGGACTAGGAAAAGCTTGACGGCAGTCTTGTTTTGATTCTTGATGACGATTTGGATCCGACCCTTCTCCGGGATTCGATAGCTGCCACCAGGGGCGCTTTAGGAGAACCTGATCTGCGTCGCCTTGCGGGGGCAGCGGTTCGTCTCGTTTCGGCATCGCCTCCGCAGGGAACAGAGCTGTCCATGTCGAGGTCGTTTTCCTCCCCTCTGCCACCCTTCTATCCGCGGCCCTGTTTTGAATTTTCCTCTTTGAGCGCAGGCCATCTTCCTGATTCGTTAGCCCGTTCTCTAGGTCGAGTTGACCGACGTACGGGCTAGGGCCGTCCTCAAAGCCGGGACGGCCAGGAACGTTGCTACCATAGCTGTAATAGACGGCCGGGAATGGCAGCGTCACGTGGGGCGGACACCTGAGGCTTGCCTTGCACTTGCCCAGGCCCAAGACCCCGATTTGCGCCAGAAACTCGATGGGCTTGGAGGGCGTTGTCGACATGCGGCCGCGAAGGATGCTCTCCTCATACGAGCCTACCATGGAGGCGTGCTGGAGAGGCGAGGTGTCTGAGCTGAAGGAAGGACGCCGGGAGCGAAGGTAGGCGGGGGTCCCTGGAAAGCTCGGAGGAAGGTTAACGCTGGGCGTCGAGGTTAAGGACCTGCGGGGTTGGTGGGCCTGGTAGGGAAATGCCGCCTCACGTCGAAAAGAGGGAATGCTCTGGGGGTGGAGGCACCGGAACGGGAGAAGCTAAATGGCTGCGGAGATGCGGGTGGGTAGAGTGAGTGACGCCTGGGTGCGGGAGATGGCGAGGTGATGTTGATGCCGTGCATGGGCAAGGAGATACCCAAATCATCGTTACTCTCTGACTGCACGAGAGGGCTCGTGGGGGCTTGTACACGAAGCTACTGGAGAAGGATGAAGACAGCGAGGAGGGAACAGACTTGAACTCGCCCCGGCTGGGGAATGTGGATTGAAAGGGCGCATACGATCTTGGGGGCGAAGTCGCTTCCCAGGAGTGGAGGGGCCGGGGGATTGAACGAGGCCGCCGGCACGGCTGTCCGCGGACGGAGTCAAGGGATTTCGCGAAGACGTTCGTTGGCCATGCTCATTTGCAGTAAAATCGCCAGAATGCAACGCCGACCTTGGACGTTCAATGCTTAAGCCTTCCTGCAACCGCTGGTCATCCCTCGTCCCCGCCTCCTTCTTTCTCTCCCTCTCGGGGTGATTTGAGCCGGAGGCAAGAGACCAAGGCCGACCGAGTCGTTGCCATCTCTAGGCCGGTCCACGGGTGAGTTCGGTAGGTTCCGAGAGAGAAACGAGTCGAGCGGCGGCGGAGAAGCGCTCAGCAGTGGAGAGTAGGCGGAGTAAGAATGAACATCCTCAGCCAGAGAAACGCGCGAATTGAACCAGGCAGCGTCCTCACCCCTACGGAACCTCTCAATCAGCTCAGACGTATCTGTCTGGGACTGGGGACGCTCTGGGGTGGGTGGCGTCGGGCTGTCGGGGATTGGGCCCTCACATAACTCAGTTCGAATGCTCTCCTCAGAAAGTCGTCTACGATGGTGATGGTGGTAGAGGTGCTGGGGCTGGTGTTGGTGCTCAGCGTGGACAGGGCGGCTGTCGGGGTCGACAATCTTGGCGGGTTTGGCTGGTGAAATGCTGCCCCTGGGGTCATCAGCAACCTTGAGCCCCTCGACCAAGGTGTTGTGATCGAGATCATCCTGAATGATGGGCATGGTGGGCGAAAGGGCGAAGGGACGGGAAAAAAGTGACTCTCCCAAACCACGACAAGCAGACACGGCTGCAGCGTGGTTCAAGAGATGGAGCGTCACAAGTAGCAAAAAGGCGTCAGGCTGCGACTTGTCATGTTATGTAGCACCCCTCTCTTCTCTCCTTTGCGACTTTGATCTCTCCGTCGGACAATAGCAGAGGCTGAGAGAGTGTGTGAGAGAGGAATATGAGCGAGATGGAGTACAATTCCCGCCTACATATATGTAGACGGTTCTTTTGTTTGGGGGCTATTCTAAGAGCAAGACGGAAGGAAGAAAAAAAAAAAAAAGAGATGAAGATCAGAAAATTTCCTGAGGCAACAATTCGGCGAAAGCTATAGGCTTGCTGGGTAGGAGGAGAGAAAAAGGCTGTCAGGTATGGATTTCTAGCGAAGTCGAGATTGGAGCAACGAACAAGTCAAGTCAACTCACAAGCTGGCGGAGGAGGGAGAAATGAGAGGCCAGGGACGTCATCCACGACCCGCCATCAGACTTATACGTTGAAATTCAGCAACTTATCAGGCCCCACTAAGGGGGCGTGAGTAGATGACTCTTTTGGCTTCCCTTTGCGCTGAACGAGGACTAGATTGACCGCACGGATTGCCGCTGGAGGGGCCGGTTTCGCTTTCAAAAACCAACGAGCCAGTCAGTTCGATAGCCAGGCAAGCCAGCCCAATGGGTCAGTCAGGCCCTGGGTTTCCGGTGTCGACTAGGGGGTGTGGGATTTGAACGGGAGGGCGGAGCGACACTCTCTTCCGACAAGGGCGAGAACAGGAAAAGGAAAAATAAAGATAAAAGAAGAAGAGAAAAGAGGTGGGACGAGAATTCGCAGGATGAGGCAAGAACAATGGAGAATGCTCAAGCCAAGTCCAGAAAAGAAAGCCGTAACTTCCCTATCTAACTCTTCACTATTGAGAAGGAGGGACTCAAAGCAGGGCGAGGCCAAGATTCAAGGGCAGGTGCAACCCTCGGAATAATTCACAAAGGGAAGGAAGGTTGCATTTGGAAAGCAACGTCTGGTACCTTGTAGGACTACACTAGCTCAGCGTTATGCCTAGTCAAGGGCGGGCCTGGACTTTTGGTTGGCAATAGATGTTTGTGGTGGACCGGTCAATTTGAAGCCGGTCCAGGCCAGTATTTCAGGCACACTGTGCCACCCGAAACTACAGCTTGATAATCAAGACTGACAGGTCGTCAGCGCCAGGCCCTACGAGTACAAGTAATATTCGATCAAATGGATTGAATGGATCCATTCCATTCCCCAATACTTCACTTCGGAGTTGGAAGGAGGGCCCCAAATTGGATCAATGATAGTGGATCAATTTGATGTGGGTGTTCGGCTGATTCACACCGTGACCCCCAAGCAACTCTGGTTCCGACGCCGCTGTGCGAGACCGCCATACCAGCTGCGTGATGAGCCAGGTTCCTGCCATGTACAACATGCACTGATCACTCACTGTCAAATGTCGGCGGATTGATTGCCCCTCCTCCCCCTCCCTCTCGAAATATTGGCTGGATGTTAGCGTCACAGCCGAAAATGATGAATGGAAAGAATGCGAAAAAGATGAGCGGATAGAGCGGTCCAAAACATGAAAGCCGTTAATTTTTGAGAAGAGCGATTGATCTCCTAGGCCCCGGAAATTGCAGCACACCAGTCCACACCGATGCGAAATGAGGAGAGACGGCAAATCCTCATGGCCCGAACATGGCTGGCCAGGCACTCAGGCCAATCCATATCGATCCAGTTGCCCATGTGACAGCCCGGCCCTCCGGCTGGGTTAGTGCAAGATGGCGGACAACTATTCCCTCGCGAGGGGATAGGACTAGGAGGAGCAGGTAGGATTTTCTTTGATGCCTGCTTTATCGGTCTAGCCCAGGCGCGTAATCTGCAATCTGTGCAAACGCCCAAGCATCAGGAACCCCGCCATCAGTGATACCCATCGAACCTCACACACGCCCGCCCATGGCCCACGCACACTCTCTTCAAGAGCCCCGCTTCCCTTCGTGCAGAGTGCCTCTGCGTTGTCCGCCCCCAGATCGCCACCCGCTGGGAAGCTGCCTCGCCGCTGCAGGGTGGTCAAACCCTGCGAGTGCACGAAGATTGATGGATATTGAGCAGCACAACATGCTGCCCATACCCGTCTGGCATTAATCACCTCGCTTGGAGCTGCCCAGTGGTAGGTGTAGCTCCGGCCTTGACGCACACCCACTACGCCCAAAGACAGCGGGGAAAAAGAGAAGAAAAAAAGATGGCGAGACGACGAACTGGCGGGCGTGCCATTTTGGTCTTTCGTTCTTCGTCTCTCGACAGGATCAAAAGTGGCGCATTTGTCACCCCACTACCCAGCCCGCAGAGTCCAAGGTGTCTGAGCAGCCCAAGTCGGCTGGGCCCAGCAGGAATCAATCTTGCTAATGGTCCCTCATAGGCCCCTCAGGCCTCCTCAGATACGACAAACGGACGGTGCGATTAGTTGTCGGGGCTGCCATAGGGCGGACGATATGAAACGGCCGGGGCTCTCTCAAGCCCCAGTCGGGTCCCGCGGATGGTGCAAGTAGAGAGGCAGACATCGCAATCATGCCCTTCGTGTCTTGGTAGGCAAAGTAGGCAAGCCGTCCTCGGCGACGGTGGATCCATCGATGGAGCGGCTAGCCAGCACTGCCGGACCCGCTCAGTTCTGAAATCCGCCGATCTGATCTGCGAGTAGTACAGCACCAACACAAGCGGAAGCAGAACATGAAGTCTCTCGCACATTGGCCAAGTTTGAGTCTCTTGTGGCCTCCCCTCCGCTGCGGTGCTCTTATCCGCAGCCTGAAAGGTGGGCGGTATCGAGCCTAAAATCAGTCATCTGTAACGCGGTGTCCAGCGCACCCCATCTGTCGGGTTTCATCCCCCGAAGAGGATACCTTTGTCTCCTCTCTCACATTGCGCCCGCTACTTCTTTTCATATCTTTCCTGAAACATAATCGTATCGATCTATCATGATACCACGGCATGGATTATAGTGGGCACACATGCGCCCTTTTGTACGTGCGGCTTCATAGAGCATGTCTCGAGGGGCGAACTTGGGCGCCTTTCTAAATAAGGATGCTAAAGGTGATTATATCTACCTCGGCATATAGACGATAGATATCATTTATTCCGAGGATGTTATCCAACGTTTGCTCTGTTAGCTATACCCCTGTTGAAGGCTGAATCACTCCCTCCACAAAGAGAAACAAGGCGCCGGCAGCGCCTAGCTCAATCAATCCAAACGGAACCTCGAAGCATCCTCAGAGTAGCGAGTCGGGGGTCGATTAGTACTAGGCAGATAGCTTTTTTGGGCAGTCCAAAAGCGCAAAACAAAAGTCTATCCATGCCCTGTTTTTGAGGCTACGAGCTACGATCATACGCCATTGATTGTGGTTGTCGCCCATACTACCTTGACTACCTACCCAGCCAGCAAGCATGGGCAAGCGCGGCCAACTTCATCGCTAAAGAATTTCGGTTTCTCAGCGAGACCCGGGTTATCCCTAGCTCTTCCGATCCCGCTCCCAGTGATGCATTCCTGGCTTCTCGGAGTTGGAGCACGGGGACAGGAAAGGGAGGCGGGGAGTGCAGAGAAGAGATAGCGAAGGAAAGGGAGGGGGAACACACTCGTGACCTTCCTTCCATCGGTGGAAACCCCTCCCGTCGTTTGTTGAGGTTGACCTCGAACAAATCTCCCTTGAGGCCCTGGCCAAGGGGACTCCATCAACTCTGAAATCCCCCGTTCTTCCTGAGCTTCTCTCGGCCAAAGCCAAGTCGTGCGGGCAAAAGCGCATGGCCGATGCGTGCCCGGCCACGCATCCATCACACGAGCGCACCTCCCACGCCACATGGGAAACCCCCCTTTCTTCCTCCTCCACCTGACCTCACTTGCATCATTCCGCTCAAGGCAGGGGAACACACTCATTTGAGGAAGGATAAACAGCGAGCTGTGGGTTGTAAGTAAAAACATCTGAACAATTGTGCCAAGTAACCGCGGCTTGCGAAGCAAAGCCAGAGGCCCGTACTGTGCCCCTCCCCCAAAAAAAAAAAAATCTGAAAGGAGATGGGGGAAGATGGAAAGAAAGAATCAAGAAGGATTAAATGGCATACACCCTATATTGACAAGCCGTTTATCTCCTTCTTCTTCTGCTTCTTCTTCTTCTTCTTCTTCTGGGCTATTCAGCGGACATGACTTTCCTGCTCTTTCATTCTACTCCATGTAAACGAGTGGAGGCAATAAATCGGTCTCAGCTCAGCTTCAAAGTTCTCTTTTCCTTAGTCCTGCACAATACCCCTGCCACCTCGCCCCCACAAGGTAGTGGTGGAGCGGTGATCAGGTCAAGACTTTTTACTCCACGATGACATCTACACTGGGAACCCCATATTCCGACCTTCTCATGAGGCATAGATAACCGACAGCTTCCCTTGAAGTCAAGCGGGGGCCCACTCACAACTCATCCCCAAGCCCCTCGAGCTGGTGGTGTGAAGATGGGAATGCAGAATGCAATGCTGCAAAAACGCGTGCAGAACCCCGTCAATATACGTATTGGGCGAGAGGACGCATCGGTGAAGGCAAGAATATATGCACAGATCCGGATCCATCCACCAGAAATCCCTCCGCACTTAACCCAAGGGAGTCCGATCAAATAGACGACAGTTCCTGGATTGATATTGCACGATTTCCTCAACTGGTACCTGTCTCTCTCCTCTCCTTGGCCTCGATACTTTTCTTTTCTCTATTTTTCGATTGGGCCTGAAAAAAGCAAATGCCACCCCTTAGTGAGGAGAGGGAACGCGAATCACCTTGAATTGGGGCGTTGAACGTGGGCAGGCCAGCGCGTGCTCTCGTTTCTTTTTCCTCTCTTTTTTCCTTGCCCGTTTTCCGTAGTTTAGTCCGGTGCGTCGACCTTGGTGGCTTGAGGCGTATTGACAACGCTACCTCCCAGCCACGAGGGAGAGAGAGAGGAGGAAAAAAAAAAAAAAAAAGACAAAGAGACCAAAAAGGAATTTAGATTCTAGCTCCACAAGGTGACGAAAACAAGTTAAATACACAAGATGGTGCGTTGCTCTATTCGCAAGCGAGAGCCACTCTCCCAAACTCAAAATCCGTGTGCGAGGAAACCGTCATTCTCCAACAAGTTACCGTGAGCTCCGGTTGCTCGCTTTTTCACTCCCCTCAAGACCGACTGATGCAATTCTTCCGCCGGCATATAAACGAAGTCAAAGAAAAAGAACACGAGGAGATATAACAAGAGGCCCACGAGAAGTAGAAGAGGAGAAGGACAAGAACATAATGTGCCACCACCCGCTCGAAACGGACCTGGGCGGGAAACGTCTCCTCCTCCAGGACAACCTCACGTCCCTGGAAAAGGCGCGGGAGGAAAATGGGGACTTGACGGCGATGCTTCAGAAAAATGCCAGGAGATCCAGGAAAGAAGCGAGAAACCGTGCTCTTTTCCCCGGGCGGTAAGGAAGTCCGTACGTCTTTTGGAATCCCCAAGTCTCTTCTTATCCGCCATCTCATCTTCCCGGCTGCCCTTTTCTCTCTTTTTCTCTTTCTCTTTCTCGTTCCCCGTCTCATATTCCGTCTTGTTTTCTCCTTCAGGCTCTAAGCATGTCTTCTACGATGAACTTCCAGAGGTGCCTTTTATACTGAATCTCGTCTCCGTGCGGTAGAATTAAGAACCGAGTTTTACTTTATTCGAAACCGAGTAGTCAGGAGCAACTATGTCCTCGAGAAGGCTGAGAGAGATGTTGAGTTTGTCAAGGCCGACATCGCCGCCCTGAACCGCTACTACGAAGAGTCGGACGCTCTGGCGAAACGGTAAGATCAGTCTCTTACCAGGGATGCGGGCATCACACTACGCATATGCCTATCCCTTCTTCTTCCTCCTCTCAATCTACGGGATTTCAACTGACCCTTTTCGTGCTAGGATTCCCCAAGAACTAGCCGCAGAGATCGCCATGTATGGATATTGCGAACACTTTCATCCCCAGAAAACGACGCCGTCTCACCACCCAATTCCCCCATGTGTTTGAAGTTTTAGATCTTTGGGACTTTGGCCTCGATTTGGGAATCTGAAGCGGCTTAGGGTGTCTATTAGAAGAGTGTGTCCAAATCACGAATGGGCTTGAGGAAGGAGTGTTAGTCAGGCATCGCTTCATGGCATTGTAGGAGGACATGTTTATTGTAAATGAGATCATGACATAGAGTTTGAAGTTTGCCCGAGAGATCTTTTTCGTTCACTTAGACATTTTTCACAAGCAATGCAAATCTTTGTTTTACTTTAATGTGTGTAGACCAACTGAGTTGAGTATAGAAAGTTGTAAAGGTGGGAAGTTGGGCTCAAGGTCAATTTCTGTTCTCTCGTGTATAAGTCGACCCAACATGAAATGTCCCTATCTGTCTCATAGCCAGAGACATTGAGAGAGAGAAGAGCATCAATTGATCCATTGCCTGCCCCACTCCCGCTTATCTTATCAACCACAGCCCGAACATTACCCGTTCCACCGCCCAAAATTCTCAAAGAAACTCACCAGACAAGCAAGGACGAACATTGCAGAACAAACGGTCGAAAAAAAGAATCTCGACAACTCTTGACCCCTCCACCTCGAACTACAACTCACGATATCGGAGGCTACCCACAGAACAAAGGAGAAAGAAAGCCCAGATTTGAATACCAAGAAGAACAAACCGGGTTTCCTAGACATAATATCCATTTCGAAACGAAACAACCGAAAAAAATAAAATGGGCGAAAAACGGCGACGAGACGACCCAGACGCTGCGCGTGCGGCGAAAAAGCCCAAGAAGGGCTTCCGCGTAGGCCCCGACAACCTGCCAGACGGTCCTTGGAAACGAAAAGGTAAGCAAGTACCATAGGCCAAGTACACCGTGGGTGTGGTATAAAAAGGGGGAAACGAGCAGAAAGAAGAAACAGAAACCAAAGAGAGAGATGGCTAACGTACTTTCTCTCTCGCAGTCGATCGTGTCAAGAAGGAGCTCATCTACAAAGCCAAGACGAAAAAGGCCTACTCCAAGATTCGCGAGCGAGAGCTCGGCGCCGCCCTCCCACGCTCCAAGAAGCCAGCCCCGCCTCCCCAGCGCGAAACCAAAGCACGTCGCAGCGATAACCAACAAGACGACGACGACGACGACGACGAGCAAGACTCCTCCGCAGAGGGCGTAGACGGCGAGGAACGAGAAGAAGACGACCAAACCCACGACCCGGCCCTTACGTCAGGCTCGGAAGAAGAAGAAGAAGAAGAAGAAGAAGCCACCGACTCCGCCCGCCCCACCACCAAATCCAAATCCAAACCCTCCGCCGGCGCCGACCCCCGCCGACACCGACCCCTCCGAACACCCCGACCGCCTCGCCCGCCGCCGAAAACCCTCCTACTTCGACAAACAGCTCCGCGAAGCCGAGCGCCGCCGCGCCGCCTCCGCCCAACGCCTCGCCGCCGTCGAACAGCGCCGCGCCGACCGCGACCGCGCCCTCGTCGCCCGCAAACGCATGCGCTCCCTCGCCCTGCACGCCCGCGAGCGCGGTCCCAACGGCCAGCGGAAACTCGGTAGGGAGAGCGAGCTCCTCCTCGAAAAGGTCAAGAGGATGATGGGGCGGGAGGCGGACGGGAAGCGCTAAACTCCCTGCCAAACACGAAAAAAAAAAAAACCTAGAAAACAAGGGGGGACTGCGGTTTTCTTGGATCATATTGCCTCCCCTTCCTCTCATTCTGCATATCTCTCTCCATACGCTTCGCGTCTTATGTGTATATAGCATTGTTTCCTTTTCTCCGATATAGCGACTGGCCAAAACCTACAAGGTTACATTACAAACCTCTGACTTGTTCCCCGTTCCACTGTCTTTCCTCCCCTGGTTGGACTCAAGTAGTGGTCTCCTATCTCGTGAGATGTGAACCCCTGTCATTGAGTGGGAGAGCAACACCGTGAGCAGATGAAGAAACAACCCAATTGGGGACTATGCGCATTGGATATATTGGTAGCCTTTCAACACTTTATATTTACCTAGGGCATCGATCGCTATGATCACCTCGATTCTCTAACAAACGTTAGAATTCCTCCAGTCTTTGCTCGCCGGTTTCGTGCCCCATACCCATCATCACCTCTTCCATAAACATAAACCCCTGCCTGTCACAGGCCATGCACTGCGCTTTACTTGGAGAAGAAAAACGGAAGAAAAGAAAAAGGAAGAAAGGGCAGCTTCATGTGGTAGAGAGGGGAAAAAAGTGCTGGGATATCATTCAACGTCCTCGTGCAGAAAATAGCGAAACAGCAAGGCAATAAGAAAGGGAAGACCATTCCTCTCTCAAAACATAAAAAAGTAATCCAGGGCATACAATCATCCCCATTCTCGGGTAGACATCCAACAAGGTGTAGCCACCAGCCACGAAACGAATACACAAAAAGGGCCATTCATCCTCGTCCTCTACTGTGGTTGACAAGGTTATCCAAGCTACACACTACCCAGTCCGCCTCCTACTGCACTAGCGGCTTATCGCAGCCGTCTTCTCGCAGCCAAGGAAAAACAAGAAGCAGTCCATAAAAAGGGCCGCCGAGAGATAGAGAGACTCAGGAGGGCGGGAAGACACCCAAACCAAATAAACCCCAGTCACTAAGCCCCCACGAGTTCAACTAAACAAAGGCAGGCCGGTAGCACCGGCTAGCTGCTCTTGGGCAGGTCAAAGCAGCTTCATATTCTACCAGTCGTGCGTGTAGAAGATGAAGAAGATGAAGAAGAGAAAAAGAGTGCAATCGATAAAATGGGAACCCAAGTGCCCGAGGGAATAGAGCTCATGAAAAAAAAGTGGTAGGCTTGCCATAAAGAGTTATACACCAAATTTAAAGAGCCCTCAAAGAGTTAATGGCAGGGCGGGGGCGTATGCTGGAAAAAGAGAAGGAAAAAGGGTCGGCCAGGGTCAGGAAGGGACTGGGCTATCCAGCCGCCACCCTTTACTCGGCAAATATACTGTCGGTGTTCTCAATGATGAATTGCACCGCGATGCTCTTGGCGTGCATATCCGTCATTTCGCGCTCGAGGCTAGTGTCGCGCATGATGGTGGGCGCGAACACGACGGCCAAGTTCTTGGGAGACATCTGTACCGGGAGAAGAGATGAAAAGTTAGAAAAAGCCAGAGAAATAAAGCCAAGGAAGGAGAAGAAAGCAAAAAAAAAAAAAAGACGTGAGGTGGAAAAAGGAACTCACCAAGTTCTCAGGTTCTCGTTGAGCGACCCTGTTAAGATGGAACATGACGAACTCGAGGCAGTCCCTGTGCTGGGGAGGCATCGAGGAGAATGTCCGGCCGAGATGCGTGCAGCGCTCTTGCTCATTCGCGATGGCTGCAAAACCGTTAGTACATGAAGACGGATAAGCAAAAAAAGGGGAGATTGTGGTAGCTTGGGTAGGCCATGAAATAATCATGGTGAATGAGGGGATTAGAACACGCACCGTTTGACTCAAGGACGCGCTCATACGCGTCAAAGGTGAGCAAGGGGATTGGTAGCTTCCTAAAGTACTGCTTCAAGACGCTAGTAACGGCCGTAATGTCGATGGCGGGGTCCGAAATATCATAGTCTTCGTTTTGCGAGAAGCCGTCCTGCACCATCTTGACCTGGGAGTTGCCGCCCGTCTTTCTGTAAATGCCCTCGACATCCATTCCGCGGAGCTCCACTTCTTCGATGCATCGGGTTACGACGCTAGGAATCTGTCGGCGCTCGAAATCGGCGCGCTCAGCTAGGTCCGAGCCGAAGAGCGTGGTGGGCGCCTCCGCGACAGTGAGGGTACTTATTCCCGCGAGGTTGGTGGCCATGCCCTTGGGCATCGTGTTCGGCGCCCGCTTGCCAAAGAAGCCGAATCCCTGACGCTCGCCCGTCTGCCTGGGCGTGCCGGCGCCTGATGGGATGGGCTGGCCCGGGCCGTTGATGGCTAAGGCGGTGGCGGGCTGCATCTGCTCCACCGTCATATTATACGGAAGCCCAATGTTCTCGCCCGTCAAGCCACCGTGGTTGGGGTTCCTCTCGCGCTCCTGCTGGAATGCTACAACTGCCCTGTTGACACCCTTGGTGACGTTTTGCGCAATTGTCTTGGATCCCTTCTTCCAGTTGAACTTCTTGACTTGGCCCTTCCTGACCGTGACGACCGTCGGGCCCGTCTCAACAATGGTGTCGTCATGTTCGTGGGGAACCAGCGTTGTGGCCGTGTTGATGCTGATCCCGTCAGACTGCATGGCCGAGACCGAGGAACCCCTTTGGGGGTAGATTCCGAGACCATTGGGAACCTTCTGGTCGCCGCCGATCTGTGACTTGAACCTCTCTTGAATCTGATGCGTCAAGTCGTTGTTCATGTCGGCGAGCTGCGCGTTCTTGGAGGACAGCTGCTCGAACTCGAGGAGGGCACGGTCGCGGTCGGCAACCGCCTGATTCTTTTCGTCTACTAGTTGGTCACGCTCCTGATGAAGCTGCTCGATCGCGGCCGCCATCGACTGTTTGACCTTGTCGAGCTTTTGCACAAAGTCCTTGATAGCCGAGTCCTCCAAGTCGCGGGGGTCGACCGGAGTCTTGGTATCCTTGGCGCGTTGCACGTATCCCGCAAGGACTTCTAGCTGCCGAATCATGATTTCGGTCTGGGTATCCAGATCCAAGACGGTCTTACGCCTCTCCATGACCTTTTGTTCAGGTTCTGTAGGTCCTTTTGCGAGCTAAATTGCCTCTCGAGCTCGGCCACGCGCTGTTCCGAGTTCCTGAGCTGTCTCTTCAGGAAGGCAGGGTCATCACTAGGCGACGCTAGGCCGAGAGGGCTGCTAATGGCGGCGCCCGGCCCGTTTTCGGCCACGGGTGTCCTGGGCCACCGGGGAGACGCCGTCGTCCGCGTCGTTTCGCTTGCGCTTCTCGTATGGCCCATGCGATTCTGGGTGCCCAATGGGTCAGGGTCGCTCGTACGGCCGTGGCGAACGGCATTGGAAACGCGCCGGAGAATGGAGGAAGAGTCCTCGTCTGTGCCCAAAATGCGAGCCATGTCTTCGTCCATGCTAAACTCTCCACCAGCACTCCATCTGAGTTTGGGAGAACCCGGTTTATCATTCGGTCCGCGTGGGCCAGGTACTTGCCCCGGCGGAATGGGGGCTTGCCTAGGTTGCATATAAGAGGTGGGGGTGGGCTTGGCGACGTCGTCGACGCTTTGTTGCTTGCCATTTACTAAGAGAGGAATGCATTCGTTAGAACAAATGAAATCGACGCCAAACAAGGACAGAGGGGTACTACAAAGGTAGGGTAGCGGACGAGGACAAAGAAAAGGTCTGAAGGAAAGCAAAGAAGCAAGGGCCACACGTGTCAAGGGAATAATAGTAGCCGCAAGGGCCCAAGGAATTTGAGGGAGAGGAAAACAAAGGGGGCGACGGGATAAGCTCACCGCTGCGAGGAGTACCATGGGGAACTTCCTTGCGAGCCATTGGCTTCGAAGCGCCATTATACTCGTTGCGGGCAGTGGTGTTACTCGAGTCGGAACGCTCGCGCCCCTCTTCCCGGAGCGCTTCCGAGAGTCGAGGGATGAGCGAGGCGTGCCAACCTTGTTGTCATCTGCTTGTAGTCGGTCCGGGTCTTGGCTCGACGATTGCGAGCTCGTGCGGGAGGCGGCGAATTTTTGCCACGGGGGCATCCTGGAGCTTGAAATCGTCCGTTGTGATCGGGGCCTTGCTCGACGTCCTCGGCGGGAGCGGCTCTTCAGCGGATTTCGAGTTGGGGGTACCCGAGTCCTTGCGGCTAGACTTGGACAATCTACGACCGGGTGGGCGCACCTTGGCATCTTCGGATGACGATTGCCTGCCCTTTTCTTGAAAGGCTATATGAGGGGTGGTGGCAGCAGACTCGGCCTTGGACTCGGAAGATGACTTCACGGGGCTGAAGTAGTCTCGATTATCCTTCTTTGACAACTCTTGATTCTCAGACGCCGATCGGGGGTAGGAGCCGGGCCGGGATCGAGGGCGACGGGGATGAAGAAGGCCTCGGCATCACCGCCTGCTGCGTCGCTGGGCATGAAGATGGACGAATTGCGATTGTTACGATAACTCGCCTGGGGTAGACTCAGAGAGTCCTTTCCGGACTCGGCAGGTGTCCGTTCGGGGACCTGGCCGGTCGGGAGCTACTCCGCGAAGATGAATCGTTTCGGTTGTAGGCCGGCCTCGGCCTCGGGGAGAGTTCGGTCGGGGTGTCGGACTCGGTCGGGGGTTCGCTAAAGGCGCCAGGGGGATGGCATTTGGCGGGAGGGCGGGCAAGGACTTGTCCGTTATCATCGGCGAAGTATCTTTCTCGCGGGCCTTTGCCTGTGCTGCAGCTTTTGATTTTTTCCGTCTCCTCGCCATCAAGGATTCGTGACAGCTCATGCAAAGATGCCCTGTGATGTCCTCGCATAGCGCAGGTTTTCAATCTTCCTCTTGCAATTCCGACAGCGGAAACATGTCGCACAAAAGGCCTGGTCACCCGTGAGGATAGCAAGGTCTTCAATCTTATTCCCGCAGGCGCCACAGCTGTAGGTGCAATTGTTGCAAATCAGTGAGCCATCGCCGAGAAGGAGCAGGTTCGCATCGGAGTCAAGGAGGGTGCTGCAAGTATTGCATCGGAAGCAGTCTAGATGCCATCGGTTGCCGGCTATCGAAACGATTTACGTTAGTAGACGATTCAACCCACATGTGCATGCAGAGGGGACTCTGAATGATCGTATCCCTAATGAAAGGGGAGCAAGTCTGATAGCATCAACGTACCTAATTCGAAAGCCTTTCCTTCCTCGAGAATCTGTGATGGCAAGCTTAGTTAGCACAGCTGAGAGCACGTAGAGACGGAAGCCTTTCCCTCCCGCTCTCAAGAGCTGAATGAAGATGGGAAAGAGCTCGAGTGTCCAATGTCGAGGTCAAAGGGCAAACCGACCTCTCCGCAACCCTTGCAGGGAAAGATGTCATCCTGGTCCATCGGACTATCGAGATAGTCATCCATTACGCTCGTCATGTTGGGCGACTGTTGTCAAGATGCCAGGGCACCCTCGTTATCGAGACGGGATTCAATCGCAGGAAGGTGGTTTGGCGGATTCGGTGGTTTGGAAATGGAAGGCTTATGTGGCGGGAAGGCGAATTCTCGAGGGTTACAAATCCGGGGCGACTCGTGTCGATTGCTGGAGGGTCAGGGGTAACGCGGCGAGTCCCTCGACGAAAACACACAAAAAGAAAAAAGGCTGCGAGGAAGACGGGCCGCGAAGATGACCGTCAAACAACGAACGAAACTTTGTGCAAGGGCAAGGAGGGGCGAAAGAGAAAAGAAAAAAGGAAGTAAGGAAAAGAAGTCTAAAATTCACCAGGGGTGGGAATGGGAATGGATTTGGGGAAGGGTGAGCCGGCTTGCTGGGGTCCCAATCGGTATCTTGTTGGAGTACACCCACACACTCAGGGAAGAAGGGGCGCGCGAGACTGGAGTGAGTGAGAGGTGGGAGAGACTAGGAGACTAGTAGGAGCGGATAGCGTGGAGTTGGTGGTACCTCCGTGTGGGTGGGATTCGGGGACTGTTGGTGTGTAGCGTCAAGCTGCTTGTTTTTTCCGGGAGATGCTCTCGATCAATGGAGACACGCTGCTTTTTAGAATTCAAGGATACCGCCCCTAAAAAAAAAAGAAGGAAGAAAACAAGAGCCTGAGGAGACACAGGAAAAAAAAAAAGAAAGGGTGTCTATCCGAGGATGCGGCACCAGGATGCAGCTAGGCAAGAGAAATGCGCAGCGGCGAACAAGAGCTCGGCGGGAGGACGAGGAAAGGGAGGAAGGATTGAAGACGAGATGCGGGCTGTGACGGGGTGGATCGAGGACAGGACGAAGGCTGAGATGAATCTCATTCAACGAACAGATGGATGGTTCAGCGTTGGCTTTGCACCCTTTGCATTTCATCAGGCTTGGAAACTCGCCAATTGCCAACCTGGTGGTTAGAGTAGAGGACCTGGATTGATATCAGCCAAGAGACAAGAGACGTGGGTGACATTTGGCCAATGTATACCTACTCCTTGAGAAACGGTACTTGGGACAACCCCAGCCTGTACAAGGAGGTCCTCGTTTGAAGCGAAGGCAAGTCTGTCAAGGGATGAGGTACCGTGTGAAGACTGAGATTCTAGTCAATGTACGAAAAGTAGTCGATGAGGAAGCCAGCGGAAGCCAGAACTCTCAGCTCCCACCTCCCAAAAGGAGACTAGGAGGGCTCAAATTCCCAACCCTGAGATGGCTTCAGACGCACACGCACTTGAGCAGTAGCGCCCGGCGAGCTCGAAGTGCACTCGTCCTTATTCCTTCGTTCAGCCCATCTTCCTCAACCTCTGCCGAGGTACATGCATTGACCTTGTTTTGCAATATTCCCTCGAGCGCTCCCGCCATTCTCCTCCTCACACGTAGAAGGAATGCTTAACAGTTCGCCATGCACGTCTCAAGCCTCGTCTCTGACATTGACCATCGCCGTTGAAGAGGACAACCAAGGGGGCTAGAAGTCACGATTTCGAATGAGGAGGGGAGATTGAGGGGCGGAAGCGACGAAGTGGAGCCAAAGTTTTGGGGGTTGCAGCCGAAAGGGAGCATCGCTGGAACTAAAACCTCTCCCTTTGCATTCACACGTTGATGCTCGATTCTATAATTGTTTGCGGGACGGTATTACAGGAGTTAAATTACGGGGTTCAATTTGGCCAGGTTGGACTAGGTTGAATGGGGCTTGGCTGCGCGGCCGTGGTCGATACCCACACTACTCTGTCCCTTGGGTGGGTTAGGGCAGCATCAACGTCTCCGGGCGGGCCTACGATGGAGAGAAACCCGTGGTCCCCACGCCCCCGGCAGTCAAGGGGGGTTTCTTTTTCTCGGTTGATGATCGAGCGATTGAGGGGTCCTGAGAGGGTGTAACATTGGTGTTTGTTGTATCGTCAACAATGAAGTAATTAGATAGTCTCCCGAAAGCCTCACCCGCCCCAAGACCAATGTTTTCTTTCGAGAGGGGAGACTCTCCCGCGCACCCTCGGCCATCAGCAAAGCCCTCAACGATGACGATTGGACCCTCTTTCCCTTTCCGAACCCCACTGCTCTGCGGAATACGGAGGACCAACGAGACCGACCTCATGTATCGCGCTTGCTCAGCTAGCGTTTTTGTGAACACGTACACGAGGTGTCGACCCACTAAAACGAACGTTCCTTCCCATGCCAGTGAGTGTCCAGGGCGTCGATCTTGTAGCCAAGGCTGGCCGCTGGACGTGATGTCTTCTGGCTTCTAGTGTCCAAAGACAGCCAGTCCGCGTATGTTTAATATCAAATTACATCAGTCAACCCACCCGAGGTGTCCGCACATCGCTCAACACGACAGCCCCCGTCGATTAATGGATCCACCCCAAGGCAACCCTAGATTGTTTGGGCCAGGATATTTCGCAAGAGGTCGAGACTCGATGCACGCTACTTGTAGAAGACGATGGACCGAGGATTGTGCTCACTTGTTCGTATGTGAGAGCCAGAGAAAGAAAAGTACAAGCAGGCAACTCATCCGGATGCATCTCCTCTCGACTGATCAACTGCCATCGCCGCTCATGTCTCGATGACCATATGGCCAAAACACGAACCTGGTGAAGAGCACTTGAGAGGGAAGGAATTTTCAAAATTGCGTCGTCCAGGTGCGAGGCCAGGGCTTGTTTAGCGAGCAGTAAGCAGCCCCCTTCCGAAAGAGGGAGATGGCCCCTATTCCAGCCTGCTGCAAGTGTTCTTTTCTCCCTCGAGTCTAGTGTATTATTACCCCACAGAAATTGGCCAGCCATCTCGAACCAGCACGCATCAAAGGACTGTCGTCCTAGTCCCAGAGTCCCTCTGGCGTTCACAAAGTACAAGTAATATCCAGGTGAGGGCATCTTCACGTGGGGACCAATATTAGATGAGAAGTGATGCGGCCACTCGAATCAGGATATGCCTTTACATGAGTTGGCCACCCTCCATTCGCCGATACCTTGGGTCTTGTGGCAGCCCCAAGGGTCCTGAAATGGGGCCTCCCGAAAGAGCCAGCACCACGACATGTACTAAGGCTGGGGTATTAAAAGGTCAGCCAGCGATTCTTCTGATCCTTCCTGTCCTTTTTCCTATCTCTCCTCATCTCGACGTGCATCGTTGGATGGAACCCTTGCCGTGCCGTCCTCTGAACATCGTCCCCGGACCCTGGTCTTTGAGCATCTCACTGGCTCGCCTGCCCACCAATTCCATGTAACCACTAAGCTGGCACCAAAGAGGTCTGTCCTCTGCTCTCTTCAAGTTGGTTGTGGCCGGCGGTTATTAAGTGGCAATCCTACAAGGGAGGACACCCCATTGACCCACCCACCCGTTTTCTCTGAGAAACTTGGGACATCGTCATTATCAGCCAGCAAAGCAGGCTCAAGTGCTCTTTCTTGGTTGCACTATAATAGTGCTCAGGCCCGGTTTATAGCATGGGCATTGATGAGCGGCTTTGCCGACATTCGCTACCTTACGATTGTCGACTCTTGCCGTGACGCGCGACGGCCGCGTGCGTCGCGGCTAATCATGGGATATCGCAACACTTTTTAAGGGTGGAAGCCCCATTGCACAGACATGCTTGGTGGGTGAGCAAAAAGAGCGCCAGCCAGGTTGGTGGCTATATCATCTAGAACTCCGACTTTTCCCAGCCCGCCCTGCTCTTTATTTTTGTCTTCTCTTTTGCTATTACTTAGGTCCTCCCTCCCCCCCCTTCCTTCCTTTCTGCATCACCCGGACGGATCATCCCGGGAATTTGCGCTTTTAGCTCACCGGGGATGGAGGGGTGAACACGCACGCGGACCAGATCCAATCTCGGTCAGAGGCAAAAGGGATAAACAAACGAGAAAACGGGAATGGTAATAACCAGAGGCGAATTTGCCTCCCGCCGCGGGTTGTTCAAGAAGATGAGACGAAACCAACACTGGGAAGAGGGAAAAGAAGGAAAGAAAATGAAACAAACAGCTTGGGGTCTGGGAACGTCACGTCTCCGAAGGTAGAGCACAGGTGGCGCGCGCGTAGATGCGCCTTGCTACTGCAAACTCGTTCTTCTGCTTCCAGTGCTCTTTCGTATCCCCCTTCTCATCGTTGAAATGAAGAGACAAACAGGAGTGATGTAATTGAAAAAGGGGAGGAGTGAGCGAACAAGTCTCGAATTGCCGCGCCGCGCCGCGCCGCGCCATTCCATTCTTCATTTCCGACGAGTCGTCGGATCCAGTCCAGATGTACTTCCCATGCAATGGCCCTTCATCAGCTTTCTTCCCAAATCCAAACCGCAAAGTGTACCACATCAGCTACTAGTCGCTACTATTGGGAGAACCAACCGATGACTCTCGAACAGCGAAGGCTCTAGATTCCCCTCCTCCAATTCAGGCAAGCGTCTTGTCTCCCAAGCGTTGGGTCTAGTCCTCTCAGACATACATGCAGCTCAGTTAGTGTAAGCCCCAGGGGAAGAGAGACCTAAAAAGAAAGAGCAGGGGTCTTGGCCAATGAACGGGCAGTTCCTGCCCTTTTTCCCCCTCGCCCCTTGATCTTGAACATGTGGTCCACGCAATATGTACCAACAAACCCTCAATTGAACGCCCCCTATATTGTAAATCATCAAAATCGTGGATCCATACCTGCAGACGTACGGGCTGTCTCATGTGTCAAGCCATTGTTCTTCAATTCTGAGTCAAAGTCAGCCTCTCCCATCAACCCGGACAAGTAAGTCGCTCATTGTCTCCCTAAAGAGTACATGGAGAGAGGAACGCCTCTTGGTTCTCCTCTCCCTTGTCCATCACCAAACTTGACACCACAGGAATATCAGCCATGCTCTGTCGCGAGCCCAAAGGGATCAATCGACCAATTGTTGCCGACATGGCAGAAGGGGGAACACTTGATGGCCAGCTCAGCCACTTCAAACCACACCTTTCCCGACCTCGAAAGAGTTGTTCTGGTCGGTGGTCTCGAGAAGGTCTTGGCGTGCCAT